CACATACGAGGTGTCAGTTAAAGGGCCAAGCTGAACATTTAGTATTCACAAATATGAACAAAAGTCCTTTTAATAATGGGGAGGGGGCGCTTTTGGCTTTAATTTCGCTCACTGTGATTTGTTATGTTTTCATTTTCGCTTGGTAAAACCCGTGATATGAAGCATGGAATGGCCGGACCCTGTTTCCTACCGTTCTATATGGCGAACCATTCGAACTTATTCTCCGGTCCGGCCTTCTGCATTTTATAGACACATGTACATATAACATGTGACTGCTTCATAAGCCTTTTTATCAATGTCTTCAATAGGAAAGATTAACACAGTCAAGACTGTGGTGTCGCGGGTTCGATCCCCGACCGTGTCATACCATAAGACGTTAAAATATGGTACTTGTTTGTCCCTGCCTGACGCTCGGCATGATTGGGTACAACAAGGACTGGTCGGCTTTGAGTCAGTATAATGTGTCTGAGTGGGGTATTCATGCTTCACTGCGGCATGGTATCTCAGTGGGCTAGCACTATAAAACCAGCTTAAGTCTGGACTAGTACAAGCAGCCGCACATACACACACACACGCATGCACGTCGTCATATGAGCGAAATATTCTCAAGCACGACGTTTGAAACCCAATTTCACCTCACCTCACCTCAAGACTGGTTGGCAGCTTGAGTCCCACCTCCAGCGGTTCTCTCATAAATGCGGTCTTCTTCTCAAAATTAGGGGTTAACTTCACCACCATGTCTTGGAACAAGTCGGGGGAAATTTCTGTAGCCTCTTGGATCTTCCTTGTAGGGTTCTGTCAATAACTGATCATAATGTCCGATATGATGTCTTCAAGTAAACCATTCCCTCACCCACAGTTTCCTTGCTTTCTTTTTTCTAGTTGGGGTTACGTCTTCTTCTTTGGCCTGCTCTTGTTGCATTTGCTGGTCTTCAAGAAGTAATAGTGCTGCACCTGCGAGGTATAGACTATGGAATCCTGGAAGGGACATTGTCGCGTTGTCGCCCTCTCAAAAACAAGCCAAATGAGGCAAAATTAACCAAAGCACGACAATGCGACATTTCATAGTCGCGATGTCGCATGTTGCGTTTTGAATCATATTTTTCTATTCCTCCAAAGGGCAACATAGAGACAATTTTCAAGGTCGTTGTTACGAGGGAGGAGTGCAGAGAAAGGGGCAGCCAGGTGTTCGAGAAGCACGTTCACAGACAAAGTTATTTATTCATTAACCTGTGCTGTGCCGTCTCCATCCGTTCTCGAACACCTGGCTGTCCCTTTCTCTGCACTACTCCCTCGTAACAAATAGTGAACTGTGTTAATATTTTAATGATAGATTGTTAAACAACTTTTCTATTTTTAGGACAAAAATTCTGCAAAAAAACCTCACAGAGTGGGTATGATGTTTTGATTATGATCAGCGTTTCATTGAGTATTCTATGTTTATTAGTTTTCGAATTAGATTGCAATTCATCGGTCCGCTTTTGAGCCAAACGGACTATAGGTTAATGGTTGATTCTAGTCTTTACATAAACGTCACTCCATTTCATCCCAAGCGTGCTCGATAGGGGACAGGTTCGGAGAAACAACTATCCAGGGGAGTACCGGAATGTTCTGCAGTCTCAGGAAATCTGTCACAACACAACAGCGACATGTGGACAGACATTATCCTGCTGAAGCGTGAACTTACGTCTCTGTCCTTGAATGAACGTCTGCACACGAGGCCCAATGATCTCATCCCTGTATCGCAGACCTGTTAGATTGCCATTGACAATGACAAATTGTGTCCGACCATGAGATGTGACTACTCCCCAAGACGTGCCTGTCGGTGACGTTGGAGCAAAACTGGGCATTTGCAGGCCGTCGGGACCGGATGATGGGCTACCCTTGTCGGTTCCGTACAGTCCTTGGTCCCGTTTCACAAAGCTCTCGTAAGCCTAAGATCTCGTAACGTTTCTCGTAGCATTCGTACTCCCAATGTTACAGTATAGGAAATACGAATGCTACGAGAAAAGTAGGCTCACGAGAGCTTTGTGAAACGGAGCCCTGGAACTGATTGGACGTAAGCCATGCAGGAATGGTCCGAGCAGTCAAACTGGCAGTCTGGAATCGATTCCTTAGATGGGTCAGCCGCATGTGGTTGTCTTGCTGACGTGACGCCAAGCGTGGACGGCCCGTCCGAGGCAAATCTCTCGTGTTCCCGTGAAGCTGAAAACGTCTCCATAGAGATGAGATCGTGTTTCAATGGACACCAAAATGTCCGGCCACTTTATTTTGGGCCCATGCCAGTCTCCAGCATACCCATGGCGGGGAGACGCTGATTTTCTGTAAGCCGTGGCATGGCGTACCCGCACTTTAGGTTAAACCTAACATTCAGAGGCAAGAAAATAACCAACCGTTCTTCATTTTTAATATCAGGTGTGTGAACTTCAGGTGTCAAAAAGCCTGCAAAAAGTGATTAATTTTATTGTGCACAAAGTACACGTGCCACGCGCGATACCCGACATAAAATGTAATGCAAATTGCTCTGCTACATGTTTAGTTAGGGTTATTTTGATACTTTTCGAATAAATATTATTTTATCCCATTTTATGTGATGCACAGTTACCTTTTTCCGTTAGTATATATATTAATGATTTGGCACTACAGAATTACATCCTGATATCATAAAACTTTCTTATTACAATATACTAATGATATCCTCATTACTGACACAGTCATGCGGTTGCAAAATTGTATAAACGCTGCGGAACGTTTTGAGATAAATATTATGTCTGGTAGTATAGGTCAAACTAAAATTGTAGTTGTCAAGAAAGGTGGTATTTTAAGTCAGTGAGTGAGTATGGTTTTACGCCGCTTTTTTTACTGCAATATGCCAGCAATAACACAGAGGGGTCACCAGAAATGGGCTTCACACATTGTACCCATGTGGGGAATCGAAACCGGGCCTCCGGCGTGACGAGTGAACGCTGTAACCACTATTCTACCCCACCGCCCCTTAAGTCAGAGAAATGGTAACAGCTTTACAAGCCAAGAAAGTTGTGGTGTGTTCAAATCTCTATATTTTATCAAGCCTCTATCCCATGAAAGGTTCTTCAAAATGACTGATTCTCAAATAAGTATTATTCTACTGTACGGGTCTGGACTGTGGGCTGTTGCTACTTAGGACTGGGTGAGTGAATTTAGTTTTACGCCGCTTTTAGCAATATTCTAGCAATATCACGACGGGGGACAGCAGAAATGGGCTTCACACGTTGTACCCATCAGGGGAATTGAACCCGTGTCTTCAGCGAGACGAGCGAACGCTTTAACCACTAGGCTACCCCACCGCCCCTGATACAAATAGAAACTGTACAGGTGTTTACTTGTAGGCGATTCTTGTTTGTTAAGCAACAGACATCAAATCAAGATTGGGGACGAAGTGCTAACGTTTTGTTATTAGATTTTCATAATGGGAAGATGAACTGGCCAATGGGCATAAACAAATGTTAAACACATTTTTTTTTTCCATGGATTTGGTTATGTAACAAATACGTATCATCAATAACAAATGTCAGAATTTATTTTACGACTAAAATCCAGTTATCAGAAAACACCCACATAGCTGTATCATTATGTTTGCAATCTGTTACAGATTAGCTTTGGCTAACAAATGTGTCATTATATGACCACCATGGCTGGTCCATTCTGACTGTAAGAGGTCTTCTGACTCACCAACTCACTGGCAACAGTTCCCAAAAACTCTGGAATGCAATCTCAAGACAAGTCTTGAGCTGACACGTCAAAATTATATGGTAACAAACAGTTTCTGATCCAATAATTACTGACACTATTAACTTTGATCTCATTAAATAAAGGTTTAAAATTTATGGTGTGTGTGCGTGTGTGATGATGATGATGGTGACTTTTGTGTACAAAGCCAGCCAGCCAGCCATAAATTATGAACGATCCCTAATCCCAATATTTCATCCAAGTTAATCAATTTACCTGTATTTAATTATCAAAACAGGTCATCCAATTCGTGGCAAAATGTACCGAAGAACAAAATGTCATACATACTACACACGAGTGAGTGAGTGAGTGAGTGAAAATCTGATAGCAGCATTTTCTCAGCCATTCAGCAACAATAACTATGCAAACACTTTGAGCAGGCTTAGGAGTAAACAGAGTTGCCTCCCTTCGACAGACGTCAACCTTTGCTGTTCCCGTCGGAATTCAGTCTGAGTTTAGTTCATGTCGGCATTGGCCAATATTTTATAAAATGAGTGCCATGCTGATGACGGAAGAACGCCATAACGTTGTCTTGACAATAGCAATATTTTATAAATAAGACAGTGGCCTGGACCAGACAAACAATGATTCAAGAAAATGAAATGCAACGATGTAATCCTACCAGTTTGTTACCAAAAACAAGCACAGGTTGCCGATGGCCCTAATACCTGGAATCCCCACACATGCAAAGCCTGAAGAGAAGCAGGTTGTGAGACCCACAGGCAATGTAGTGTGCTGACACACCCACGATCGGAGGTTTCTGGTACATGCTACTGTGCAACACCTGTCTTATTCATTGGACACACTGGACACAGGATGTCATTTACATTCAGAGATTATAGGAGTTTTGGGTTCTGCATTTTCTGACCCTGCTGATCTGGATATTGGGTTTCCATCTACTGTTAGAAGACACCTTCAAAAGGTACACAATACCAGGGGACCTTTTTAACCTGCAATATGGTCTTTAAAACACAATTGTGCTGAAGAACAACTTTGTGCATGTGCTAAGGAATAAATTTGTGTATGTGCTAAGGAATACATTTTTGTATGTGCTATGGACAAAATTTGTGATGTGCTATGGAATACATTTGTGTATGTGCTAAGGAATAAATATTTGTGTGTGCTAAGGGAGTTGATGAGAGAAGTAAAAAGTATGACTCACACTGACCATGTCTTCTGTCCTGGATTTCATGTCAAGACACAGAGGTTAACAAAACAACAGACAAATTTTGTATAATCATACATGTATTTTATTGCCTTCTTACCAGTCTCCGAGTTCTAACTGCCATCCATGTAACAATATGCACTTTAACCGGCCTTCCTCCCTGCAAAAATACGCCATCTGAGGAGGACGTCACGCGTCAGACATACGTCAAAGTGCTGCCGATACGATCCCGCAACTAATAGAAGAAGTCAACAGAACAATAGGGGACTGGTTGTGGCAGCGTTAGCAACTGTAACGACGGTGGCCGTAACCATGGTAACGAAAACAAGACATGACATCTAGTACAGAATAGATACAGGAAACAAATTTTCACTGGGGATGAAGAAAACGGAAGTTATATAGCACTTTTTTAAACTAACAAAAATCGTCCTACTTTTAGTAGTGGTCATGGGAACGCCATTTGACATTTCCATGGCAACCATAATTTCCTCATGAGGTTGAACCTCTAAGAAATAAAACACTATAACTGTACAAATCGAACAACTACGCTTCTCATGACCAGTGCGACAATCCACAATAAGGAATGACCACTTGATCATCTATAAAAGAAATTTGATACAATTAATCAACAGATATGTTTAACAAATCTACAACAAATAATTTCTCTACATTTCATGAAATGTTGTTTCTAATATTCTTGATGCCTCAGGTGACGACACTAAGTTTTGGTGTACTTCATTTTTAAATCCAACTTCATCAGCTTGGGTACTTGTCTGCATCATCCACAGGTTTAACTCTTAAGAAACATGCACCACATCAGAAGGAAATAATTACTTTCTTCTAATTACACATCTTTGAAAATGAACACAGTTAATTTTATTCATGATATTTAATCCATTAGCAACTATAAAAGAAGATCTCGGCAACACAATCTAAAATTTGAATAACTGCTATTTTCCAGTGCTAAAGTTGTCATTTGAAATATAGATCAAAGTAGAATTTCTTCATTGAAATCCATACAGTTAATTGTTAATACTGACAATAAATATACTAAAATTTTATTTCTTAAGGAAAATATAACAAATACCATTTGTCACAAAATCTCGACAGAAAAGCCTGAATATTAAGTCTATACAATTCTGAGAAAATTTTAAAAATGCAATCCCGAAAATGCTGACTGTACCCCATAGCAATCTCTAGTTTATTTACATATATCAATTCTCTCAAAATATATAATACAATGTATACATTTACTTAATTCAGTCTGAGAAACCGGCAATTTGCATATAGACCTACTTAATGGAAATCCAATAAAGAAGTAGTAGAAAAGCTCTGACATTCGTGCTATAGGATAATAAATATCAGATCTAACAAGTTCTGGATTAAAATGCCTTGTCTGTGACACGCACGCAGTGTTGAAATCTGAGGCACCTACAAGAAACTATCAACAGAAATATACATTCACATCCAGTGAAGGAGTTTCTGTACGTACGAAAACAATGTTCACTTTAACACGGAACTCAAGGCAAAACCACTGAATAAGGTTGCACCAAGCCTTGACTTTGACCATCAATACAACGCCTCACTTCTACTCAAAGACATGCTGACATTGGATCTCTCAATAACATTGCCATGGATACTGTTACTCGTTGAAAAGCCACATTGTATGAGAAGTCTGTCAGTCCGAACATCAACCAGTTTAGGGACTGTTTCTGTCCATTTTTGTGTTAAAACATTAATTCCCAAAATAGTACATAGATAAAAACTTCGGCTCTGAACACTGATGACATTTCGTATGTAACAATCCCTCGGGAAACTATTCATTCTGAAACTAAAACATTCTTCCTTTCAGACCTCTGTATCAGATCTGCTGTTTAGTGAGGAGGAAGTGGATGAGGCGTTATACTGAGGATGTAGATGGAGCTTGATGGCCTGGTTTAACATAGGAGAAGGCTGATTCTGCGAGAGGCAGTCAACATGTTTTATCTGTATAAACATACAATACATTCTCTGTGCAAATGTCTTGTTAATCACTCTCCCACCCTAAAAACAAAATGTAATAGTCCTCCACCCCAATCATCAACATAGTCCACATCATAAGGCAGTTGATACCATTTCGGTAACTTGGGGGTGGAAGGCATACCCTAAAATCTAAGGTCGAGTGATGGGTTGAGATGCAGAGTCATAATTCTGTGACACAACTGACGAATGGCGTTCCACGGTGTCATGAATCTGTGATATGCACTGTCAATATCAGTTAACCGGCTGGCATGGGCGACACACACAGCCACAAGACCTCAACACTGTGTCAATGTTGTGAACAGCACAACACATCTGTATGCTACGTGCTGTACACAATGATGAACTCACATGATGATGAACATAAGGATATGGAAATCATGAAGATACACTTGTGAGTACACAATGAGTCCGATGAAGCTCAACAAGCAACAACTAAATACTTGACTGTCTGCTGCTCAACGCACTGCAGTTGTCAGTCCTGTAGATTTGTGCACTGAATGAACTGAAACAAGCTCCAAGTCTGCTAGTGGGGAAATCTGTAAGCATTGTTTATCACACTGCCTCCTTTAGAATCACAACAATACCGCCAAATTCGGCTGCCCATAAAGTTGCACTATCTCACAATGCTGCGCTGTGCCATACTTGCAAAACATACATGCAAAGAATATGTGTATCATGAATTTTCCTCTGGCTCATAGCCATCATCTTTTAGTCTCCAGAGAAACTTCAATAAATCTTGACTCTGTAGTCAAGAGCAGATACAGTATCTAAACATCTGAAGTGTAGCGGAGCTTCAACAGATCTTGCACTCCGCAGTCAAAAGGAGCTTCAATAGCTCTTGCCTTCCATTGTCAAGAGCATTTTCAATAGATCTTGCCCACTGTAGTCAAGAGGTGCTTCAATAGATCTTGCCCTCCATAGTCAAGGAGCTTCAATAAAATTGCCCTCCATATTCCAGAGGAGCTAAATAAATCCTGCCCTCCATAGTTCTTGTAAGAACGTGATATACATGATGTCATGTATTCATCAACCACCTGAGTTTCCATGGTAATGCACAATACTGCCATCTGTCTTTGTGTCCGCTCGTCTGTCCGTCTAGATGGCAGAGGCGGCCGTGAGATCATGATGTCTGCTTTCCGACACAATACTATGTGGAACTATGTACAAATGGCCGGCTGCTGACACTACTGAGCAATGGTTCCTTGCCTCTCCACAACACAACAGAACACGTATCTCACATACAAAAATAATATCATCTTCTTGCCCTCTTCTGAATGTTGTGGCATCTCTGGGTTGACAGTAAAGAGTGAAAGCCCTGTGTCCCGTCCAGCGTAGTCTCCCTGCTAGCATCACACTTCATCATTCAGACAGCAGCTGCTGCAATAAACTATTCTTCTGGTCTGCCGGACGTATATCATCAATAGGGGTCTGCAAAACCAAGAACATGATGTTAGTGGCAACATCTACAAGTCTTATGGGTAAATGAGTTTAGTCTTACGCCACACTCAGCAATAATCCAGCCATATGGCGGGTCTGTATATAATCAAGCCTGGACCAGACAATCCAGGGATCAACAGCATGAGTATTGATCTACGCAATTGGGATATGATATGTGTCTAACCAAGTCAGCGAGCATGTCCATCTGATCCCGTTAGTCACCTCTTACAACAAGCATGGGTTGCTGAAGATCAATTCTAACCCAGATCTTCAGGGGTCTTATGGACATCAATATCAGAACACAATAAAGTTATTGAGATTCTTGACTGAAAGACGAGGTGAAATGACTTGAGTTTAACATGACATTCAGAAAGTGAAGAAAGTAAAATTGCTGATGTTACACAAAGTATCTATAAAGCATACAACTCCAAACCACAGAAAGGCCAGCTCACTTTGAAACTAGTCAACATATCATGGCTCCTTGACAGTACACGACAAACATTGTAAATTAGGAGCAAGAATGTTTTAAATTCTAACTATCTTTCCAGCATACCAGCTTGTCATCTTGCAAGAACAAACTTGTCTCCCTCTATTCTGAGTTCTGCATTGACAAGCATGCAGCATCTGGTTACTAGTGTGAGATGCTGGGCCCTTATTCTCGAAACGTTCGTAGCCCTAAGAATTCTTAACTTTGATCGTAGCCAATGTGTTAAGAATGGGCTTAAGAAGTTCGCAGGGCTACGAACGTTTCGAGAATAGCTAGCCAGGTCCCAATCACATTACGAGGCAAACTGACTTCATCCTGACTGATGAAACACAATGACTCATCCTATGTGGGTCCTCTCAGTGTTATTCCCTTCCACTCTTCGGTCAAGTGCACCCTAATTTTAATCACTCTGATTCTGCCTGCTTGTGCCTGCTTTGGAGAATGTCTACTGAGAGAGTTGCACATGTATCCCAGCAAATGAATACTATAAGGAACGTACCCGTGGCTCTCTCTGCACGATGTTGACCTGTGTCACAAGCTCGTTCTTCTGGCCGCAGCCTTTCTGTGACTGATCTGACTGGGGAGCACTCAACAACTGATTGCGGAACAAGCTGGTAGCCTTGGCTTCTGGATCATCTGGGACTGCAATACAAATATGGCATTACTAACATGCTTGGCAGTCTGAAGGAACGGTACAGAATTCCAAACTGATCAGGAACCTAATAACAGCACATGTAAAAACTAGTGTCATAACCAATTGAACAGTAAATATTTACTGTAAATCCAGCAACACATGTCTCCCTTATAATCCACTGACCAGCATAAAACTGTCATAAACCCTTGCACAGCACATGTCAGACTTATAAACCCATGAGCACCATTTATCAGTGTTATCACCCCTTGGACAGCACATATCAGTGGTACCACCCCTTGGACAGCACATATCAGTGGTACCACCCCTTGGACAGCACATATCAGTGTTATCACCCCTTGGACAGCACATATCAGTGTTATCCCCCTGGACAGCACATATCAGTGGTACCACCCCTTGGACAGCACATATCAGTGGTACCACCCCTTGGACAGCACATATCAGTGGTACCACCCCTTGGACAGCACATATCAGTGGTACCACCCTTGGACAGCACATATCAGTGTTATCACCCTTGGACAGCACATATCAGTGTTATCACCCCTTGGACAGCACATATCAGTGTTATCACCCCTTGGACAGCATATATCAGTGTTATCACCCCTTGGACAGCACATATCAGTGTTATCACCCCTTGGACAGCACATATCAGGTTACAGCATGTATCAGCGTTATCATCCATGGACAGCATATATCAGCGTTATCATCCATGGACAGCATATATCAGCGTTATCATCCATGGACAGCATATATCAGTGTTATCACCCCTTGGACAGCACATATCAGTGGTACCACCCCTTGGACAGCACATATCAGTGTTATCACCCTTGGACAGCACATATCAGTGGTACCACCCCTTGGACAGCACATATCAGTGGTACCACCCTTGGACAGCACATATCAGTGGTACCACCCCTTGGACAGCACATATCAGTGGTACCACCCCTTGGACAGCACATATCAGTGGTACCACCCCTTGGACAGCACATATCAGTGTTATCACCCCTTGGACAGCACATATCAGTGTTATCACCCCTTGGACAGCACATATCAGTGTTATCATCCCTTGGACAGCATATATCAGTGTTATCACCCCTTGGACATCACATATCAGTGTTATCACCCCTTGGACAGCATGTATCAGCGTTATCATCCATGGACAGCATATATCAGCGTTATCATCCATGGACAGCATATATCAGCGTTATCATCCATGGACAGCATATATCAGTGTTATCACCCCTTGGACAGCATATATCAGTGTTATCACCCCTTGGACAGTACATATCAGTGTTATCTCCCCTTGGACAGCACATATCAGTGTTATCACCTAGGACAGCACATATCAGTGCTATCACCCCTTGGACAGCACATATCAGTGTTATCTCCCCTTGGACAGCACATATCAGTGTTATCACCCCTTGGACAGCACATATCAGTGTTATGACCCCTTGGACAGCACATATCAGTGTTATCACCCCTTGGACATCACATATCAGGGTTATCACCCCTTGGACAGCATGTATCAGCGTTATCATCCATGGACAGCATATATCAGCGTTATCATCCATGGACAGCATATATCAGTGTTATCACCCCTTGGACAGCATATATCAGTGTTATCACCCCTTGGACAGCACATATCAGTGTTATCTCCCCTTGGACAGCACATATCAGTGTTATCACATAGAACGGCATATATCAGTTATCACCCCTTGGCAGCACATATCAGTATTATCACCCCTTGGACAGCACATATTGTTGTTTTCTCCCCCTGATTCGCCCTTATCAGAAACATAACTGAACTGAAAAACAAATATGTAAACCACATACATCACAACCTGATTCACACACTTGGGGAAATCCTGCTGTTAGTATTGTGTGTTTAATGCTATACTCAGCAAACGTCAAGCTATTTAATGGAAGCTAATAAAATGTAAGAGACTGGACATGGTCAGGTCAAGGAGCCATTCAATCCCATTAGTCGCCTCTTACAAAAAGCATGGATTGCTGAAGACTAATTCTAATGCTGATCTTGGATCTATATTTGCTTACTATACTGGGTCTGTCCTGTAGACAAGGCACGGAACTGCTCGTATCTCTTCTTGGCCTCTTGTCTGGAGGAGCTGAGGATGTCCTCATTCTCTGCTAAGTCATCAAGAGGATTGAGGCCAACAGCTGCATGCTCCTTCGTCATGTCGTTAACTGTAACAACAGAGTGAGATAGTTGGGATTAACAACCCGAGAGACTGTAGTTCATTCATATCCTTACCTGTCAGAAGTGAGTGAGTTTAGTTTCATTCAGCAATATTCCAGCTATATGGCACCATTCTGTAAATAATCTGGACCAGACAATCCAGTTATCAACAGCATGAGCATCTATCTATGCAAATGGCATAAGATGACATGTGTCAACCCTAGTCAGCAAGCCTGACCACCCAATCCCGTTAGTCGCCTCTTACGACAAGCATGGGTTGCTGAAGACCAATTCTAACTCGGATCTTCAAGGGTCTACCCGTCAGAATTGATGCTGGTCTTAGATGTTGACAACTTTGGTGAAACACAAAAGCCGACCAGACCAATGTCATCGAGAAACATGCCATTTGTCCCTTCAAAGAGTGAGTAAGCATGGTTTTACAGCACTTTTAGCAAAATTCCAACAATATCATGGCAGGGGACACCAGAAATAGGCTTCATACATTGTACCCTTGTGGGGAATCGAACCAAGGTCTTCAGTGTGACAAGCATACGCTTTAACCATTAGGCTACCCCATCTGCCCTGCTAATAAGTATCGAAGCGTCTCTGAATCATTATATTCCTACTTACTGGTCTCTAAAATTTCTAAAGGCAGTTCTCCTCCAGTGTCAAATGACATTGACTCATGCTGTTGCTGTTGCTGCTGAAGTTGCTGCTGCTGCTGTTGTTGTTGCTGCTGCTGCTGTTGTTGCTGTTGTGACTGAAGCTGTTTCTCTGAGCGCTGCACTACAGATGATACGCAGCTCCTGTTTGACGTACTGTGACGTTGAGTTGGACACTGCTTGGTTCAGGTCGCCCGAGATGACAGGCTTTTTTCTGGAAGTAACCAATCTACATCAACACCTAGGACAGGGCGTTAAACACTTTGTGGCAATACAATATACATTTCAACAGTTGAGTTACAATATAAAACTTAGAGCAAACAACCTTTTTAGGCATGAACGATTTTCTTCAGCCATCTGTGTTTAACATGTTGACTGCCTACCACGAGTATACTCAAATTATCAAATGGAACAGAATTTGCTACTACAAGTTATCTCGTAGCTATCCTCAGAGGTATCTTAAAACAAATTTCACATGTTGGTAAAATAGCCACAAGAAGCAACCGTCCTTTGTCAGCAGTGATCTTACCCGTCTGGCCCTGTTTCCAAGAACTGCATGTCAAAAGGCTGTTGAAAAGACTGCTGGGAAGGAATGCCCTGAGATGAAGAAGGCAGCGATTGGTTGAAACTGGATGTGGCAGTGGACATTGGTGACGGGCCTGAAAAACTGGCCGGGGCGGACAGAGGCTGGGACGCGAAAGCAGCCGACAGCTGGGACTGGTTGAAGCCAGTTCCTGGGCTCACCTGAAGATACAAGTAGTAGGTGGTGGAAACGCAGGCTAAACATCTTACAGCAGGATGATAGATAAAGAATATCCTATCAACTAACAGAATTATTCTTACATGTTTTAATCAACAGAATTTATGAACCATGTTGCAATACATACAGACAAGTGAAGTCTCCTGCCTTGCAAGTACACAAAAGCCTTAGGACACTATTGTCTACATGACTGATTATAGACAGTTGACAGTGAAGAAGACTTCTGTTGAAAATCTTTAGGATTTGTGTTTAGGATGACAGCCAAAATACAGCATTTATGTCAGAGATTTTACAGAGGGAAGATATATAAGATTACCTATTACAATGTGACAAATGATTTGCAGTCAGGTTATATATGCTCTGCCACATCTGGAAACCAATACTTAAGTGTATTGTTATGCTATATGTTACTCAACAAACAGACTTCACGTCAATAAAAAGATGCTCCAGCTTTAGATTCATTTCCATATCCAGCTGATCTTGATACCCAATGTTTTTGATTGGTTTGTGGCTTTCATAACACTATCCATTATGGTAAAACATGATAAAACTAGCAATCTCATCTTGATAATACTGTATATTACAGTTTATAAGCCAACCCCAAAGATAAGCCGACCCCCAAACTTGACCCTTAAAATCAGTGTCAAAATGGTAACAACCAAGTCTGGAGTATAAACTGAGTCAGCAGCATGGGACATGATCAAATTCAGTGAAGTGCGTCAGCCTGAACTCTCACATCCCACTAGTTGTCATTTATGACCAGCATGGACTGCTGAATGTTAACCAATTCTAACCCACACCTTCATGTAAGAATGCAATCTATGATGTACCTGTGTTCCTGGCTGCTGAGACTGGCGAGAGTTGGGGGAGATAGAGTGAGGGGACATCAACATGGGGTCAGGGCTGCTGCCGTACGGGCTGTGAGGTGTGCGGGGAGATCCACGCCCTGTAATAAACATGCCACATGTAACAGTGTCATCAAAACATCAACAAATCATTTAATACAAGACACAAAATACTACAAAAACACAAGAATCATACTGTGCCAGAGTATGAACAACCACAAGGAACTATGAGTGAATATTTCACTAATCTCACACTAGAGTGTGAACAATGCCTGACAGAATCTTGGGACAAACAGATCAATAAACATGTGACACAGCTGGAATTACCAGTGTCTGCATGTTGTCATGGAAACTGACTTGTTAATTGTTAACATTTTCTGGGGTAATTCTCATAAGTAAGTCTAGTATCTACTGTCTTATTGTGCAATATCAAGGAGAGATCCATCACAAAATGAAAAGATTCTGTTACAAATGTCTCTAATAAACTAAATCTGTCACCAAGGAAAATGTTTCATGTACAGTAACAAATTTTGTAAGAACTTTGATTCCATGGGTAGAATGGTAAATGAAGGTAGCAATGAAGTACCAAAATAATGGAAAACACAAGTATTATGTAAAATATGGGATTTACGATGATCTTAGCACTAGGACTGTACAGAACTGATTTTCTTAGTACTAAGTTCACTTCAGGGAATGGGACAGTGGTATTTGTTGCCGAGTCAGTGGATGCAGTAAGATCACTTCAGGGAATGGGACAGTGGTATTTGTTGCCAAGTCAGTGGATGCAGTAAGATCACTTCAGGGAATGGGACAGTGGTATTTGTTGCCAAGTCAGTGGATGCAGTAAGATCACTTCAGGGAATGGGGCATGGTATTTGTTGCAGTCAGTGGATGCAGTAAGATCACTTCAGGGAATGGGACAGTGGTATTTGTTGCCGAGTCAGTGGATGCAGTAAGATCACTTCAGGGAATGGGACAGTGGTATTTGTTGCCGAGTCAGTGGATGCAGTAAGATCACTTCAGGGAATGGGACAGTGGTATTTGTTGCCAAGTCAGTGGATGCCGCAGTGTTCATTCAAGCATTTCTAAAAAGTTAGCCCATGGCCCACCAGCCCTGAGTTATGTGGGTCACTCAGAAATTATTGTGGGTCATGTCAAATGTCAAACTTTTTAGCCAAACACTACTAGTTACTAGTACGAGTTCACTTCCTATTTTAAACTTTCAATCCAGGGGAGGTCAACAAGAGAAACCAAAGACATGCTTGTTTGTTGCCAAGTGAAAACAAACTCGTGATATGTTTCACATTTACATTTATGGATGTACCGACACGACACGACCTGCCCGTACCTGTATAGTGCACTGTGTTAAGTATTACCCCAAAGGCCCAAGTTCGATTCTCAACATGGGTACAATGTGTGAAGGCCATTGCTGGTGTCCCCCATCGTTATATTGCATGAATATTTCAAAAAGTGGCATAAAACCCAGCTCACTCACTCTAAACAATTAGGTCACATACTGTAAATGCCTAAAGCTCATTTTCATTCAAACATGTGGAGGACAAGAGACCATTTCTTCCCTACAACATGTACAAACTAAGATGGAATACTTCAGATTATACAATACCCCAAGAACAATGCACTACACCAAAACCATTGAATATCTCTGTGTATACCATAGTTCCTTGAAACTACAGCACATTCAACCGTTTGAAAACTACGAAAAAACAAAGGGATGATTTGAAAAAGACAAAAGGTATAAAAATATTATTTACATAATCAAATGAAGACAATCAAACCAATTCGAAAGTTTCACAACTGTAACTAAGAGGTAAGAAAAGGATAAATTCAACATTCCCCAAATAAACATGAAATCATTTAAATATTTACCATAGCTTCCAATAGAAACGTAACGATACCAAACTGAAAACAAGGTTCACCACACAATCAGGGAGATATGAAAGTAGGTATATTTTGAGTCGTGATTTAGTAGTTTGCGATATCACAGCTATGCAACCTGTAAGGTGAGGTATTTAACATCGTGCTTGAGAATATTTTGGATATGACAAATGAATGGTTGTAGCAAGTAGCCCAGACTGCTTTCTGGTTTTATCTTGCTAGCATTACATAGCCATACATGACATAGTTCAACAAAAACATTATTGACCATATTAAAAGCAGGGTGTGACACGGTGATGACCACAGGCACATCCGATGCAACCTGTATTGTGTGGACCTGACACATGAATGGTTGACACTCTTCACTTGCTACATTACAGTAGAATACATACATAGAGTGGTGAGCAGGACACAGATCATTGACATTCAGCTCCACAAACAGTGGTGACATCATGAGCAACATCTGAAGCCAGGGTATGATGACACAGACACATCAGAGTCTGACGCATACATACAGGCACTCTTCACACAAGGAATAGAGTGTGCAGGACCGATCATTAATTCAGCTCCACAACCAGTGGAGCCAGGGTATGATGACACAGACATCAGAGTCATGAGGCAGGACTGATCATCTGAAGCCAGGGGTATGATAGCACATCTGACACATCAGAGTCTGGACACATCAGAGTCTGACGCATACATACAGGCACTCTTCACACAAGGAATAGAGTGAGCAGGACCGATCATTAATTCAGCTCCACAAACAGTGGTGACATCATGAGGAATATCTGAAGCCAGGGTATGATGACATAGACACATCAGAGTCTGACGCATACATACAGGCACTCTTCACACAAGGAATAGAGTGTGCAGGACCGATCATTAATTCAGCTCCACAAACAGTGGTTGACATCATGAGGAATATCTGAAGCCAGGGTATGATGACACAGACACATCAGAGTCTGACGCATACATACAGACACTCTTCACACAAGGAACAAATTCAGATCAATAAACAGTAAGGCATTACGTTCTATATGACTAAATGCAAAAATTCAATATAGAATAGGAACAATCCTTGAACAATGAAGAGTAGCCGTTCCTCTCCACATACATTCTACCAAGAACCACCTGGACCTCAGATACATGGCACTCGCACTGAATCACAATAAACAGAAACCATCTTTCACTGCACAAACAAACATCACATTTATGTTGATCTATAATCAATAATTATAGAAACCACATTACATCACTTTGGGAACTGAAATAAACATCAAATATCTTTCAAAATTATGAAATAATATTACCTCTGACACAAGGCATTGTAAAGAGTGAAGACCCAGCTGGAGAGAGAGAGAGTCGAACTACTGAAACTTCTGTTAAGGTGACGACGGGGAACGAGGTTAAAAGTTCAGCCATGAGCTGCCAAGGCATGAGTGATGTTGTTACGTAACAAGCTGAGATAATATGCCCAACAATATCTTCCAGATGATCAATAACAGCCATAACAGCACATGCACAAAGCTGGCTACAGCCAATGGCTGGCCTGTTTGCGGAGGGAAGGGGAGAAATATGCAATGCATGAACATTGTTTAATGACACTTAAACAATGCAATAACCAGTTTTAGCTGTTCTTGATGAGACAAAAAAATTATAAAGTGATGTCAGCGTCAACAGTACCGATCCCAAAGTTCTTGTCACTGAAATTAACAGCAGATTTTCTGGACCAACGGATCCTGGCTAATAGCATTTCACTGTCAATGTGATTTTGAGATGAAATATATTGCACACGTCTTACGAGTAAGTGTGTAGGGTCATATGTCCCTGAATAAAATACAAACCATTTCAGATCAAAGGGCATCAACTTACAACTTTCAACCATGCTCAGAACTGAACCTGGGCTGTCTGTGAGGCAAGTAAACACCAGGGCCACAAGGCCACCAAACATTCAAATTCCCATGTACTGTGGTAATATGTAGCTCCACAGTATCTTTATCACCAGTAAGGATGAAGCTGATGCTGGATATTGAGGAAATTCATATTTACCAACCATGACCTCAATGTTCGAGTAAGATAAACACTCCAACACATTCAAAATTGTATTGAGGTATACAATGCATGTCTTGGGTGCTGTTGTACATAGCAATCTTAGCACTATGTTGGCCTAAACTCCCATACTTTAAGGTAGTCTTAGCGCTAAGGTTGTTTTGTACAACATCACCCTGGAATGTTAATCCAATCTGAACCCCAAGGTCAAGGTCAGTGACTATTTGAGTGAGTGAGTGAGTTTAGTTTTACGCCACACTCAGCAATATTCCAGCTATATGGCAGCGGTCTGTAAATAATCGAGTCTGGACCAGACAATCTAGTGATCAACACCATGAGCATCGATCTGCACAATTGGGAACCGATGACATGTGTCAACCAAGTCAGCGAGCCTGACCACCCGATCCCGTTAGTCGCCTCTTACGACAAGAAAAGTCGCCTTTTGTGGCAAGCATGGGTTGCTGAAGACCTATTCTACCCCGGATCTTCACGGGTCCTATTTAAGAGAGTGACAGAAAACATTCTATTCCAGAAGCTTCATGTGTAACCCTAACCCTACCTGATTGAACTCCTGGGCACATGAACAGCTTCAATTGTACTACAGGTGATTCCCAAGTACACACACCTGTGATGAACAATAAAGCTTGTGTGCACAACTCATTAATTACACCAACCTGATGAACTAATCAATATCTCACCTGGTGGCAAACTCATCTGTCTCTGCATGAGTCTATTCTGAGCAAAAATTTGTTGAGGTCCTCCCTGCTGCTGTTGTGCTGCCCCCTGTTGGCTGCCTCCAGGGAACAAACCAAGTTGTCCCCCCTGCTGGCCAGCTGGGAACTGATTCTCCGGGAACTGGAACCGAGGTGAACTCTGACCTCCTGGACTCGGCATGTTTCCAGAGAGAGATCTGTGACGCTGGAGGGCGGGAACTGGGATCCCTGGCATCAACAAACATGTGATTAGTTCACCACTGGACCAGCAAATCAGGGAACTGACAAGGATCTACAAAATTCATGACATGCATGAACCAAGTCACCAAGCCAAACCATCTAATCCTTAAGTCGTTTCTTACACAACAATTGGTCATTGCCAAAAATCAATTCTAACACAGATCTTCAAGAAGGTTTCAACATGAATAATAAGGTTAGACTGTGAATAGACAGCAATGGGCAAGCCCATGTTTCTCATTTGTCCTTGTTTCAGCTGAACAGAATGAGGAAAATGTCAACTCTGGCCAATACTGATGATCATAAGCTTGGACAGCCGATCATGTGGAAAGAGAAATAATTGCACAATGGAAAAGGACAAAAAAGGTATTGTGTTCATATAAAGTTATAATTATTGATTATACAATAAAGAACCTCACAGAGATTAAACACATCAAACTCCATCAGCTGTGATATGGCACCAGGAGGTTCTTACATGTGATTGGCCAGTGTTGGGGATTACCACTTCTGGATAAGTAATATTCTATTTTTAGTTACGCCATTAATTCAATACTTCAAACATAAGACCTGAGACAGCATGCGTTTCTATCTACTTGTTTCATGGATCTGCCGAATAAATTTAGTTAAATGGAAAAAATATATATATATTGAATTTGCCCTTTTTAATTTGTGCCGATAAGCTGATAGCATATTCCAGGTAAACAACATTTTTTTACACAAGGACCCATTATTAACAATCTTGTATCAATGTGTAATGCTATATCTATTCACCATCAACCATACTATAAGGATTTATTCCTATCAACCATACTATAAGGATTTATTCACTATCAACCATACTATAAGGATTTATTCACTATCAACCATACTATAAAGATTTATTTACTATCAACCATACTATAAGGATTTATTCACTATCAACCATACTATAAGGATTTATTCACTATCAACCATACTATAAGGATTTATTCACTATCAACCATACTATAAGGATTTATTCACTATCAACCATACTATAAGGATTTATTCACTATCAACCATACTATAAGGATTTATTCACTATCAACCATACTATAAGGATTTATTCACTATCAACCATACTATAAGGATTTATTCACTAACCATCAACCATACTATAAGGATTTATTCACCATCAACCATACTATTTATTCACTATTATTCACTGTCAACCATACTATAAGGATTTATTCACATCAACCATACTATAAGGATTTATTCACTATCAACCATACTATAAGGATTTATTCACTATCAACCATACTATAAGGATTTATTCACTATCAACCATACTATAAGGATTTATTCACTATCAACCATCATAAGGATTTATTCACTATCAACCATACTATAAGGATTTATTCACCATCAACCATACTATAAGGATTTATTCACCATCAACCATACTATAAGGATTTATTCACCATCAACCATACTATAAGGATTTATTCACCATCAACCATACTATAAGGATTTATTCACCATCAACCATACTATAAGGATTTATTCACCATCAACCATACTATAAGGATTTATTCATCAACCATACATAAGGATTTATTCACTATCAACCATACTATAAGGATTTATTCACTATCAACCATACTATAAGGATTTATTCACTATCAACCATACTATAAGGATTTATTCACTATCAACCATACTATAAGGATTTATTCACTATCAACCATACTATAAGGATTTATTCACTATCAACCATACTATAAGGATTTATTCACTATCAACCATATTATAAGGATATCCAACCTGTCCAAGTCCCACTCCGCCCTGCAGAGCACTGGACTGCTGTGGGTGGAGGTTCCACTGCTGCTGTTGTCCGAAGTGGGGGGACAGTTGGGAGGGTGGCGTTGAGGGAGGCATCATGGGACTTACTGGTTGGTTCCCAGTCGACATGCTACCCGGGTTGTACCGGGGCGACATGGGTCCTGGCATGGCCTGGCCTCGCTGGAATACAATAACCCATGCATGAATACTCCACAACAGCTACACACCAACACATGTGGAACTTCATCACAAGTCTCAACACAAACTTAAAAATAAACACCAACTTGAAAGAAAACATTTACAACAACCTGAATAGTGACAGATCTTCGATGTTCAAGTCGTAGTCATTTTTGGATCACAATATATATGAATATGTACAGATATTTCAAGTTCACCTGGGCTGGCAATATTGCACATAGTATCAGGCTGGACTAACAGTGTAGCTGACCTACTAAAGGCGAGCGGCTTGTATCACATACCTGCACAGGTAAGGTAACATTTGGGGCGTGGCCTGAGTTCATTAGCTCACCAAGGTTTTCAGGGAAGTGGCCATCTACTCCCATATTTCCCTACGGAAACAAAACGGTCGGAGAGTCACATAGTGTTTGAGAATTACAAGTGTCTGTGGAGTGACAGTCGGAAGAACTACTCCATGCAAAGCTCACACATAGTGAAACTGTCAGAAATCAAAACCTACTTGGTTTGAACATAAAGCATGATTTTGTTTCAATTTGAACGAAATGAATTCCAGATGATCTACAAAGCTTGAGGTGGCCGGGCTTGTCACGTGTTCCTTCCAATCATGATGTACACTACACCAGGTGAATTTGAAACTAAAGGTAAACATCCACATCCACAAACTATCACCAACAGCACAAACAAAGCCATTCCTGGACCACATCTAAGGGAAACAGGCAAGCACACAATAAAAGATGGGCAGCATACAATGACCATTATGTCAAAGACGGAATCGTTCAAATAGCTACATTTTGTCCAAAACTACTTTCAATATTAAGAACTTAAAACAGAATATAAGACACCATCAGCTTTCAGCTGTGATCTTACAAATGGGACTGTATCTGTTATCAATGACACTTTGGAATCCTGAGATTTTAAAATAAGACTTAGACCAAGCAGTCACGGCACAGTTCTACCTACCTGCGGGAACTGCCCAAACTTCTGCTGTTGCTGATGTTGCAACGCGATAAGTCGCTGTTGCTGTAATAGCCTCTGTCTTTCCTGTGCCTGCCGATGGCGCTGTTTCTCCATCTGCTTCAGCTTCTGCTGTTGCAACAGCGTTTGTCGCACCTGTACGGCTGTTGATGTCTGGTTCATGCCTCGGAACATAGGGCGCTGTGGGGACTGGCCTTGCAAGGCACTGGCAAGCGGACTTATTGGAGCTGCACAGCAGGAGAAAGGTGTCAGTTAAATATTCTGATAATCTAACAATCTGATTATTTCACTAGCAAATATTACATAATTTCTTCCTGAATACTGGTGTGGGTGTAATCATATCTCCTCCACAGTTAAAGCAATCACTTGACAAAATCTACAAGGGCACAGCTACTACAAGTGAGTGAGTTTAGTTTTATGCCGCTTTTAGCAATATTCCAGCAACATCACGGCGGGAGATACTACAAAGCAAACAAATTGTTGCATTAAAGCTGAAGATATTTCATTATGATCTCAGTGATTAATGTCAAACTGTGCTACACTTACAATGAATGAAGAAGGAAGAAGGAAGAACAATGTTTGACAGCTGTAGCACTAAATGATCTTCACTCCCACACATTAACATACCCTCCAATAATCGTAGTCCTAAGATGAGTGAGTGAGTTGGGTTTTAGCAATATCACAGCGAGGGACACCAGATTGGGCTTCACACATTGTACCCATGTGGGGAATCGAACCTGGGTCCTCGGCGTGATGAGCGAATGCTTTAACCACTAGGCTACCCACCGCCCTCCTAAGATGATCGGCCCATACATGAATGTAGACTTTCAATAATAGTAGTCCTACGATGATTGTAAATCCCATACATTACAACAATTGTAGTTCCAAGATGATCGTCCCATACATTAACATAGATAAACAGCTACATCATCACTGAATATGGGAGATAAAATGTCTGACCTAGACATGACGAGCGAATACTCTCTACAATGCAACCTCAATATCACATACTAACATGTAACTTCAAGGATGCAAGATGGGTTAAAAAAGGATAGAACTCTCACCTTGAGGCTGAGGGAAACGTGGACCCATCTGGCCTGGCATGGATTGGGCCATGGCTCCCTGGGGCGGAAGTGACTGCAGTTGCTGTTGTTGTTGTTGTTGTTGTTGTTGTTGTTGTTGTTGTTGTTGTTGTTGTTGTTGTTGTTGTTGTTGCTGCTGCTGCTGTAGTAGTTGCTGAGTGAATGCTGCATCCAACCCTGTGACCTGACCCAGTGCCCCGGCTTGCTGTTGATGTAGGTTGCGAGCCATCTGTAACTGGGCGAGAGTTTGGCGAGTGGGCATCTGTCCTGCTTTTGTACTTGAAGCCTGGCTAGCAGCCCCGAGAAATATACTGGGGTTGGCGTTACGTATATGATTGCCAGTAGAAACAGAATTGGGAGTCTGCACTGGTTCCTCACTCATGAGTTGTCTCTGAATGGCATCAATTGCCATCTGCTCCGTGACCGACGTTGGACCAATCTGCTGGTTGTTGGACTGTGAGTTAATACCTAGAATATTATCTATTTCTTCCCAGGGATCCATCAGCTGTTCCACTTCCTGCATCATATTCACTTCTTCAGCATTAGATGTTGACTGCTGCTGTTGAGTAATAGATGCGGTCACCTGGGTTGATGTTGATAATGTAGACATGTGGGCAGCGTTTGAGGATACAGGTGTTTGGGGCTGGGGAAGGGAAGCTGCAGTCGACACGACCTGGTTCAGGTTGCCGGCAGTCAGTTCATGCTGAAGATCTGCTGCTTGCTGGAGGATTTGTTGAAGCAGTGGATCAGAACTATCGCCACCATTTGCTTCGATCTCCATGCTCACAGACTCGTTGGCCTGGGATAAGGCCCACAGTTGTTGGAAATTGTCAAAGCTGTTGGCACTGTCAGAGTCCATGTTGTGGGGAGGTGGGACACCTGTGTTCATTTGTCCCGAGTTATCAACCCCACCAATGGCACCATCAGGCTTTGTATTGCCTGGAAAGGGAGCATTTGGGTTTGTGCGAGGATTGTCCCGTGGATTGGGGGTCAGACTGCTCTCCTTGTCGACTCCTATGTCAGATGGATGTTGACGTAGCTCCTGGCTGTTGGAGCGGATTTGGATGAACTTCTCTGTGATGTTTTTAGGGATCCTCTGCTGAGGCAGTGCTGTGGGGTTCACAGTTAGCTGAGTGTTCACTACAGTCTCTTTGGCTGCCTTCTTTGACAACAGCTGGGCCAAGAGAGCATTCCTCTGCGAGAGGCGGCTCTGGTGCCCAGGTGAAACACTAGAATCACTTTCTAACACTTCTGTACTGTCCACATCAGAACTAGAGGATTTACGTTTCTTTTGACGTACCCTCACATCACCGGCCTTCTCAGAACTTTTGTCACCTTTCTCCCACAACTTTGTAAGAAAATTATTCAGATTCTTATTCTGCATGAGTCCACCCTGTTCAACATTCTTCTTTGCAGGATCAGAAAATACATCTTTGAGCATGTCAAACTGTGAGGCATCAGAGAAACTGGCAGCACTCTGTGGTGTGACTGGCTGGCTGAAGCCTGATGACTGCGGCTCTTGTTGACCTGACTGGTGCCGCGACCTTGACCCACTTCCTATCTCCTGGTCCTGTATAGTACTTTCCTGAGGAGAGAAAAACATATTCATTTTATTGATGTAATTAGAGAATAATGTTAACAATGTTAAGAGTGTTAAGAATTTCAACATGCATTCACCTTACATCACTGCGAACAGACCGCCTCCGTGGTGTAGTGGTTAGAGCGTCCAGCCGGAGAGCGGAAGGTCGCGGGTTTGATCCCCGACCGCGTCAAACCAAAAGACGTTAAAATATGGTACTTGTTGGTCCCTGCCTGGCGCTTGGCATTAATGGGTACAACAAGGACTGGTCGGCTCGGAGTCAGTATAATGTGTCTGAGTGGGGTATTCATGCTTCACTGTGGCATGGTATCTCAGTGGGCTAGCACTATAAAACCAGCTTCAGTCTGGGCTAGTACAAGCAACCGCACATACACATACACACGCATGCACGTCGTCATATGAGCGAAATATTCTCAAGCACGATGCAAAACCCAATTTCACCTCACTCACCTCACTGCGAACAAAGTCACCCCATGTATAAGGCAACCCCCTTTTTAAATCTGCAAACTTGAAGCTGATTTATATACCCCATCTATAAAGCAACCCCGAATGAAGTGCATCTTTAAAACATACACGATCCTGATATTTGCCATGAAATCATTTTTGTCCTCTATTGTTTTTCTATATGATGTTTGGTCGTTTAGACCTTCAGCCCAAGGCACCATTTGTTGACATGGTGCGACACCAAATTGGTGACAACAAGAAAATCTCATTTTAAGTACTGAAGTAAGTATGACAAAGAGAGTCTATTTCCTGTAATTTAATCACCAATTATCTAAGTTTGAATTTCCTGGGCTGAGTTTTGTATAACTATGAGCAGGTTTATTCAACAATCTTTGATACATGACTTTCCAACGCAAGGTAACAGATGAAAAACATTAATTTGATTATTGGTTACAGCTTTTGCTACTTTGCTGCTATTTCTGGGATATAATTACATATGTATTTACGGATATGCATTGAAGATTTAACTGAAATATATATGTAAAATTAACTGTTATGCCAAACTGCATTGGAAAATGTTAAATGATCCTGCACATGCTTACTTCTGGCTCTCTACTGGTGGAGACAGAATCGTAATCATGGAGAGTCTGATTTAAACATTATTTAGAGAGTATGTATAGCATGAATAAGGAATTCGGATATGGCGGAAGTTTACATACCAAAAAGGTATAGTTATTTTGAACAGAATGAGACATTTTACTGTCAACAACATCCATACCTATTGGACACCAGTTCACATCGCCAGACAAAAATTAATGTGAGATCTACTCCATGCATAAGGCAAACCCCTTCAAACCCGTCTAATTCTAGATGGGGAAAACCTGCCTTATGTACAGTGACATGAACTATTTATGGTATTAAACGCAAACCCTAACCAAGGCTCTGGAGTAATCCAAGGACAAGTATGAACCATGCTCTGGCCTGAAATCGGTCAAATCGCAACTGAAACCTGACATGAAATATGACAGAAGAACAAAAATCACACATTATCTGCCAAAATCCCTTGTTTTCAGTCACCACTGGCATATGTTTGAGAAGATGACACTGATAGGCCCAGTAGTCTTCAACTAGATGTCACATGACCTGTAATGACCTGGTCAACATCGTCATCACTGGAGAAAGACATCACACAGTGTCATCATTTCAGTGACACTGAGTATTAGAGATTTCTCTCCCTTTATCTTGTTACCAGAGGGTCAAGTATTTTGGCTTATATTGCAACAATCTCCAGATTAAGACAAGCAGACACAAGAACCTTTTCCTCTATGAAAAGCTCTGTTTCTGAAGACTTTTAAAGAAGCTTCCTTTCAGATCACTCACCGCTGGAGCAGATGTGCAACTCTCATCTTCTTCCTCCTGGAGCAACTTCTGCAGCAACTCTGAGGTCGGTCGCTTCCCGTCTCCATCGAGCCCAGCTTCATCTGTTGGAGAGTTCAGCTCTCGCTGTAACACTGACTGGAGGTTCTTGTTGGGTGCATCACCGTTCTTGTCATCACTCAACAGTTGCTGTCAACACACATTAGTTGAAAGTTTAGGCGCTGTTAAGAAGGTGACCAAACCAAGCTGGCAAGCCCAAAATGTCAAGGTTCCACAAACAATATTAAGGCTCCCACTGCTACAGCTCATCGAATGCTGCTATGATGTCTAGCTATAAGCGAAGCAGCCTTTATATGACTGAGTCTGGGCCACGCAAACCAATGAGTGAAAGAATGAGCACTGATCCATCCTTCTGGGGTAACAATGATATGTATTCAAGTCACCAAGTTTGACCACTCAATCAACATGTTAGCTGGATCTTGTGACAAGCATGACTTGCTGGTCCAGAAACCGTAAGCACCTGTCACAACTTTTATATGTTAAACACAGCCTTACACTGATTCTTACCCTTACATTGGTCCTTGGAAAGGGTATGGAGAGCACCAGGTCAACGGACAGAGAGAATGAAAAAGGTTCATGCTGCTTTAAGCAATATTCCAGCAATATTCCAGCAATATCAAGGCTTGAAAAATCAAAAATAGGCCTCAAACATTGTACCCATGTGGGAAATCGAACCCAGGTCTTTGGCATGATAAGCGAACACCCCTTGATAATCAGATCTGATGTTTAGCTGATCACAAAACAGGGATACAAATGTAGTTGGTTCTTTCAATGTGTGTCCTAATGGTTTAATTGTGCTAACAAGATAACACTGTAACCATCTAAGACACAGTGACGAACATTACACCATCAGCTCTTAACCACATTGCCGGGGCACAAAATACATGTTATACAAAGACTTTCAAATCTATACGATATACGGGGTTGTACAGAACTGAAAGTTTGCCATTGTGTTCCTTAGTACTAACACAAAAACCAGTACTATATCTCCACAAGTGCCAGCTTCACCAAACTACAAATGTTCTGGATGGGACACCTCAACCTGTCAGTACACCAGCCAGTTGTCTACAGACCAACACAGACACCTGACTACAAGACTGATTTATGGCTTAGCTTATACTTCAGCTTAGCAACTTCCAATAATATAAGTGGATCATCTTGATGCATCAGAATAGACTTCATACAAGTCAAAGTAAAGGTTAGGGCTGGGATGGGTCCAAAATTTCTACCCCGGGTATCCCACCCCTATTACCCTACCCTACCCTACCCGGATACCCGTTATGTTCATTCCTGACATCAAATTTGCAATAAATGGCAATATATATATATATATTCTTCAGCTTGTAGGCTAAAATTTTGAGTTTTTCAACATCTTAATCATGTATTGAATATTAAAAAGAAGTGACATTATGTCATGAAATTATGTCTAAATCTTCAAAGACAATACAACCTTTTAAGCATGAAAGAGTAACATATTACATTGTTTAATTATTAGTCACATGATAAATAACGGGTCCGGGTATTGAGACCCTAGTAAAGGTGTAAGCTAAACAGCAACCCTCTCTTCACTGGTGTCTCGTAAAGCTACCCCATATGCAGTATATTCAGCCGTCTGTTTTCTGTCTGTGTCGTGACTGCAGTTACATCAAGGTACAACTATATACCAAGCTTTCTAAATATATAAACTAATGGTTCTCAGGCATTGACTGTAAGAGAAAGTGAGCATGGTTTTACGCCGCTTTTAGCAATAGTCTAGCAATATCACGGCAGGGGACACCAGAAATGGGCTTCCCATGGGGGAAATCAAACCCAGTCTTCAGCGTGACGAGCGAATGCCTTAACCACTAGACTACCCCGCCACCCCTTGTCTGTAAGACATTGCTACAGGGGTATCAAGAAGTTATGTTTGATGGTACTGTGTTCATGTTGTGTTCATGTCTTATTTAACACCACTCTTAGCAGTATTTCAGCCATTTGACCATAAAATCCAGTTATCGATATTGTAACAGTCACTGAGTCAGACCACACCATCCATTCGGCCACTCAAAGACCAGCATTGGTTAGTAGGAGCGACTAGAAAGCACCTGCCTAAAGGAGTCTTGATGGTATCAAGCTTAGCTCTCCCGAAACAATGTGACCATTGTTTTTACCTTGGCAAGGCCTAAAAACCAGGACAATTAGGGAGTAGTTGAAAAGTTTAAAATCTTTTAAGTTCATGGGTGGGGTTAACAGGTCTGCAAATCTTACATCAATTGAATAACATGAATGATTATACCAGTTTAAAAACAGAGCTGAAGAGCATTGTCCCAGGAATGACAGACTGAAATGTCCGATCAAATGCAAGCAGAATTTCTGGATACTATTAGGGGAAAACTAACTTTTCAACTGCTCCCTCTATTGCTGCTGGTAATAATGTGCGTACACATGTTACCAAATCAATAAGCAAGACTTCAGAATTCAACAGTAAGGCTCATATCTCCTAGTCTGAGGAAGGATTCGTGTTTGTAACTACCATTATTATGGCATTTATAAATGGCAGCACATACTTATCCATTAGGTCAAATGACACATATATACATAAGCATACACATATACATACATAAACCTTCCGATTTTTTGTTATTACTAATAGTTCCTATGTGTAAGTTAACCTTTATGAATTTGGATTAGAAGAAAAAGACTATTTCTGGTTTCTAACTTATATAATTATAACTTGAGAGATTCTAGAACTAGATCTGCCTTACTTTTGAACCCTGATAGCCTCTAAAAAGCAAAAAAAGGAAGAAGATAGTGAATAGTTTGTTTACCCTGAGTCCTACCTTGAGTAGAATGTTGGATGGTTTCTTCGCCTCTGCCTCATTCTTGTCCATTTCAATGCCGAACTTCTCCCCTGTGGCGCCCCCTGTGTGGGGAGAGCTGCTGATCTCTGTATCCATAGTAGGGAGGTCTTCTTCTTGGCTCAGGAGCTTTTTGAGTATTGCGTTATCCTTCTTTTCGACGCCGTCTGCTCTATGTGAGCCAGACGGCTCCACGTCGTCATTTGACGTACTCTGGGGCTTCTCTGGGGGACTCTGTCCCGGCCCTGGTTGTGGAGACTGCCTGGTTATATCCACCGATGACTTAGATTTAATTAAAGAGCGCTCATGGAAAGTTCGTACAGAAGTTTCACTTGTCAGAGATGTCAACTGATCAAACGACGCTTTACTGGTTAACAAACGACAGAGTTTTCCTCCCCGAGGGTTCCCCCGGGAATCATTGTTCATTTCACCTCCACTGAATATATGCTCGGATGACCCAAGTCTGAGAGCTGGGTCTGGAAGCTCCGACACAGAGGATTGCGAGTCCATAGACTGGAGTGCCTGGAGAGGACTCTGCTGATTGGCTACTGAGCTGGACACTGCCTGGAACTCTCCACTGGTGGAAGGGGAGGAAAACCGGGACCATAATGTCTGGTTGGAAGAGACACCTGTACAGAGAGATAGAGTCAGACACTGTATGTATGATTGATTTTCATTCATGTATACTACTAAGAAACAGTTAAACAAGAACACCAGATGCAATAATGGACCAAGTTTAGAAAGAATCTCGTGCTTTTGAGTGGTATGCTTGACCTTCTCGAATTATAAACTGAGCTGTATATCACCACACTTAACACAGCTACACAAAAGCAGATAATTGAGTGATTTATAGTATGTGCAAAGTGACATAAATTGAAGTCTGATGACACACTATCAACCTACTGAACCTGACCACTGAATCCACAGTCACCTTGGTTTTAGGTTTGAGAGAAGGAATATTACACCGCATTCGTTCCAACCTGGAATCGCCTTGACACTTTCAGGTCATTTTAGTAATCTAACCCATTGATGTAGGAGTTTTTCAGTCTACTAGCATGAAAATTAAGGCTGCGCAATATAACCAGTTTACCGGTATTAACTGGTTCAGACATGAAAACGATACGTATTGCGATATGCTGATAGAAAACCGGTATTTTGACTTGTATTCAGAAAACTTCGTAATACTCGGAAACCTTGATGATTGTGGCAATTGTGGTAATGGTGGTGGGAATGATCGTGGTGAAAATTACATTTAAATATTATCTTTATTCTTATTTTGTCATGATTAAAAGTTTTTATTAAAGCTTAATGAAGCATAGTGATTTTGTTGTGTTTTTGCTTTATAAATAAAGCGTTATAAAGTTTATTGTTCAAAAAACTTCTTGCAATATACTGCACATTGATCATTAGTAGTTTATTGTTAAAAAATGCTTTGGCATTAATTTCAATATTTCTGCAATCCATTGCATATCTGCCTTAGGTACATAATTTTGACTTATAGCAAACTGTAGCGAAAAGCGTCATTAGAACCCAATTTTTATCCAATAAAATCGCTTCTTACAACTGTGAAAATACTCTTGGCAAGGGTTCAGTGATGTTGTTGATGTTCAGAGCTATACCCGACATCAAACGCATGTTATTCATGAAAAGGTTTTTCTGTTATGTCATGTTACCGGTGAGGAAAGCCACAGATATCGGAAATAGGCGACCATACATATTATTTAAGAAATCTTTTATAATAATTTTCTGATGACAAAAATGAAAATATAAAAGAAAAGGCATGTTATGACATGTCACAAATGTAAAAAAATCGCCATAGTTTTTGCTTCTTTCGTGGTTTATCTGGACGTTATAATTTCCTTCATAAACATAGGCTTCAATGACCTCAGAGTCTCGATAGTAAGGAAAGATATCAAGGGGAAGTAACTCGGTGCATATACTGTGGTTTCAGCAGTACGAACGTTTCACTATCCGAACGTTTTTTTTTAAAAACCAAAGTGTTCGTATTAATGAGGTCTGACTGTAGTTTAGTTTATGGACTAGCATCGTTATCTTGCAAGAAATTTCACTCGACTCACATTTAGGGTACTATTAGACTGTGTAGGGTACTACTTTGATGAATACTTGCCTTGAATTCAAAGGGACAGTTGTCATAAAGACAAATGGCAATATACCACACCATAAAGCTAAAGCGAAGAAAATTGTACCAAATTGTTCATGAACACTCAACAAGCCTGTTGATCTGCTAATTCTCACCTGGCTGGGGGGGACATCATTGGGGAAACAGTCTTCCGCTGCTGGGGGTAGGGCGCCGTGAACTGACCCCCTGGGGACCTACTTGGTGGCACAGTGGCTACCCCACTCGCTGCTACAGGACTCCTTTGGTTCACATAGCCCATCATGCTCGGCACACTTCTTTGAGACTGTAGCGTGTACGGAGTTCCCCTGCTTCCCGGACTTGGTGAGAAACGGGGATTCTTGCGCTCATCAAACGACACCGACTGACTTCGCTGCTGCTGAAAAGTTGCTTGTCGCTTTGCCATAGCATTCAGTCCTTGCACTGGAGTCACAACAGCAGATTGAGACTGGTTGGGCAGTGATGGCTGCCCCACTTTCAGCTGGGCCATATGGTCCCATGACGAGTCCCCCGAGTTCATGTTAGCACTGCCACTGAGAGCAGCGTTAAGATTAAATTCACCTTGGATGGGGTTATCTGTCCCTAGTAGATCCCAGTTGGTGTTGGAGTTGAGCAGGTCCAGCCCCTCCAAGCTCAGTTGTGGGGAGTTCATAATTGAGTTCATGTCTCCCAACATGTTCATGCCAATTGTGGCAGTGATGTTAGCAAGGTTTTTAGTTCCACTGCCTGTTCCACCTCCGCCACGGTTGTTGATATTGGACTGACCAATGATGGACTTCATCAGACTGGTAGAAGCCGATCCCTTCAGCTCCACCTCCGAATCACACTCTCTGTAAAAAAGAACAGCTGTGAAAAACATCAAGCTATAAAATCCTGTGGGGTCCTTTCATAACAATACTGGGAAAAGTCACAGACTTAGTGTCTTGTAAATTGAAACAACAACAGATCAAAGTGCCAGCCCTAACTTCTTTCTCTTCTGCGCACCCCATCCCCCAACACGAAATCACATCCAACCCTTCACCCCCCACCCCCTACCACCATAAATAGAGAGTTTACTGCTTCTAATTTATGAAGTGCTAAGCACACTGAATTTCAAAAATATCTCTATGTTCTCAAACTGTTAATGTCAAAAATAGAACACCTGTATTTCCTGTTTTCATTATTTTAAGGCTGAGTTCGAAAGTTGCATCCTTGCAACAACAAATATTTTATCAACAACAAGTCCTAATAACCAGGGCCCTTATTCTCGGAACAATTGGAGCCCTGTAGAGTTCGTAACTTTGATCGTAGCCAATGTGTTAATAATGGGCTTAAGAAGTTCATAGGGCTACGAACGTTTCAAGAATAGCTAGCCAGTATGTTATTAGTATGAAGCAAGTGAACAGTGAGTATAGTTTATCACCACTTTGAACAGTATTATAGCATGGAATTTCACAAACCCACAAACACAGCTATGGCACTAACACACCAAAAATATAATCAGATTGAACTGAACTTCAATATTACAGGGGTGGACATAACTTTAAAACTGATAGTGTACTCCGGTACAGTGGCACATGTAAAGTCACTTGCCCTGATAATTTTTCCACTATACCGACCGTTTTCTTGCTGATCTTTTTAATAAACAACATAATTAACATTGGAAAGTCAACTGAAACAGTGTGATACACAAATCTGCTTGCCCGACAGAAAAAAACACTGGACTCAGACATCAGGCAATGGGTTATTTCCACCCCTGTATTACAAGTTTAAATTTGAACTTCAGATGACAAGCTTCTGAAATGTTTTTCACCACACTGCATTTGGCAACGTGGCCCACCATTCCCCCAGCAGACAGAGAGACCTGACTGATTACCTTATGATAGAGTGAGTAGACATGACAAAGTCTGGCTCATTAGTGACTGGCATGGTGAACAGCTTGCTCTTGGTCTGCACGAACACGTAGCGATTCTCCTGCAACTTGAAGCGGTACACTCCACTGGTGTGGTTCCGCAGCTTCCTCACTGTAACACAACAACATGGGTGTTAGTAGTCGATCTAGTGAACAGGACGATGCTCTATACACCCATACATTCAAGTCCATGTACTGTGATTGAATTCTGAGATTGTCTGTCCATAAGACCATGGACGCACACCATGGCAATAGTGAATAGGAATAACTGCTTAGAACAGTGTTCGCTGTGACAGTTCAAGCTAGAATGGAGCTGTGAGGTAGCCTAGTTGTTAAAGCGTTCGCTTGTCACGCCGAAGATCCGGGTCTGATTCCTCACACGGGGAAAAATGAGTGAAGCCCATTTCTGGTGTTCCCCGCCGTGATATTGCTGGAATATTGCTAAAAGTGGCATCAAACTAAACTCAGTCAGTCAGTCAGCCAAGCTAGAATGAGTGAGTGGGTCTAGTTTTACACCGCTTTTAGCAATATTCTAGCAATATCATGGCAGGGGACACCAGCAATGGGCTTCACACATTGTACCCATGTGGGGAATAGAACCTGGGCCTTGGGCATGATGAGTGAACACTTTAACCACTAGGCTACCCCACTGCCCCGCTCAAGCTAAACGAAACACCACACTTCCTATCAACGATATTTTAGATTATGCACCCGCATGTCAGTTTAGTTTTACGCTACTTTTAGCAATATTCCGGGAAAATCACAGATAGGGACACCAGAAATGGGCTTCACACATTGTACCGGGATTCGAACCCAGACCTTCAGCATGACGAGCAAATGCTTTAACAACTAAGCTACCCCACTGGCAGATACTGTTACTTTCATTCACTCACCTTCTTGTAAATGGCGGCGTAGTTGACTAACATCATTGGAATGACAGTATTCCAGAATACTCTGTCCTTTGAAATCAATGGGTCCGTAGTTGGCAACTAATCCTCTGGAAACAAGAAGTCATTGTCATGATGAAGGCCATAAGCTGACATACCAAGACGGTATAATTGAACAGTTATGACATAAAAATAGAACATCTTCAGATGAAGTTCTTGTTGGTGCTTTCTGTCTCTCGCCACACTCAGCAATATTCCAGCTTTATGATGGTGGACTGTGGCAATCTGTGCCCAAATATTTGAGTCTGCTGAAGATCCGGGTTAGAACTGGTCTTCAGTAACCCATGCCTGTCGTAAGAGGCAACTTATGGGTACAACAAGGACTGGTCGGCTCGGAGTCAGTATAATGTGTCTGAGTGGGGTATTCATGCTTCACTGAGGCATGGTTTCTAAGTGGGCTAGCACTATAAAACCAGCTTCAGTCTTGGCTAGTACAAGCAGCCGCACATACACATACATACACAAGCATGCACGTCGTCATATGATCGAAATATTCTCAAGCACGACGTTAAACCCAATTTCAACTCACCTCACCCCAACACTATTATATGAAATGTTTTTAGCAAACTTTACATGACCAAACAGAATTTTAGTAACTTGGGCTTCAGGCAAGGGGCTAAAGTTACTAACTGCTGAAACTAAATAAGACAAGACAAGACAATCCTGCAAATTTTCACTCAGATTTTACCTAAAACACAACTCTACAATCTGGATTTCCAGTAAAAACAAAATCAACAACATAAATTCCCTGGTGCCCCTTCGTCTGATCCTACCTTGTATCATTGTCTACGATTTTGTCATTCAGATCTTGTCGTGTTGTAAACTGCTCAATACCAATCATCATATTGGCTTTCTCTGTTAGAGGAAGACGGCGAGCAATGCACACTAAACACGTTTGGTTTTCTGAAAAATAAAATAGATGACAATAAAACAATGTCCCGAGATTCTCTGAATATTGTTGAAGACTAAAATCATTGTCACAGGAATCACCAACTGTGGTGTCCCGAATGAAGGCAATGTAAAACTAGACACCATTGCCACAGGAATCACCAACTGTGGTGTCCCAAATGAAGGCAATGTAAAACTAGACACCATTGCCACAGGAATCACCAACTGTGGTGTCCCAAATGAAGGCAATGTAAAACTCGACACCACTGTCATAGGAATCACCAACTGTGGTGTCCCGATTGAATGTGATGTTAAACTAGACACCACTGTCACAGGAATCAGTAAGAGTATGATGTTAGAGTTTAACAACGAAATTTTAAGTACATAACTGCTTTTCAAATTAGAAATTCTGTTAAAAGCAAGAGCTTCTGACACCTGAAGGTGAAGAACCTAATTATATTACAAAATCATAACAATCTTAACTGAAATAAAAAAAACATGACTCATACTTAATTTTTTAAGTACATTAATGTTATCCACTTCAAAATGTTATGAACAGCAATATCAGTTTTGGTATGTTGAACACATTACACAGATGGACACACGAACACAACCAGCACCTACCATCATTAATGTTGTCTTTAACCATGACATGACATGACTGGTTCCATTGTCATGGCAACCACATTAACAAAATCTACTTGCTATAACTTCTCACATATCTGTTGCTTTTCACACATGTAAATGACCTGAGTGAGTGAGTGAGTTTAGTTTTAGGCTGCTTTTAGCAATATTCCAGCAATATCATGGCAAGGGACACCAGAAATGGGCTTCACACATTGTGCCCACGTGGGGAATCGAACCCGGGTCCTCGGATACTAGGATACCCCACCCCACCTACCCTGACCTACCCATTGATATTGTTGTATTGATACATATATTAATCTCAAAATATTGTCATTGATATATTGTTGTATCGATTTTAAAAACCTCAGATATTAATCTCATCATATTTTATCTGGTACATTACACCTCAAATGAATTAAATTGATAAAAGTCCTTGTTGTACAACATAAAACAAGATAAAAAAGGGTATGTCGGGATCGAACCCGCGACCTTCCGCTCTCGCGGACGCTCTATAGTGAACCACGGTGGCGGTAGTGAGTGAGTTTAGTTTTATTCCACACTCAGCAATATTCCAGTTATATCATGGTGGTCTGTAAACAATCTAGTCTTGACAAGACAAACCAGTGATTAACAGCATGAAGTGTAAAAGATGGCGCAGCCCTTGAACACAGCCATGACATCAAAGTGTACAAGCTGGTGCAGCCCTTGAACACAGCCATGACATCAAAGTGTATACTGTGGTACAGCCCTTGAACACAGCCATGACATCAAAGTGTACACCCTGGTGCAGCCCTTGAACACAGCCATGACATCAAAGTGTACACCCTGGTGCAGCCCTTGAACACAGCCATGACATCAAAGTGTACACCCTGGTGCAGCCCTTGAACACAGCCATGACATCAAAGTGTACACCCTGGTGCAGCCCTTGAACACAGCCATGACATGAAAGTGTATACTGTGGTACAGCCCTTGAACACAGCCATGACATGAAAGTGTACAAGCTGGTGCAGCCCTTGAACACAGCCATGACATCAAAGTGTACAAGCTGGGGCAGCCCTTGAACACAGCCATGACATCAAAGTGTATACCAGCCCTGGTACAGCCCTTGAACACAGCCATGACATGAAAGTGTACACCCTGGTGCAGCCCTTGAACACAGCCATGACATCAAAGTGTATACTGTGGTACAGCCCTTGAACACAGCCATGACATCAAAGTGTACACTGTGGTGCAGCCCTTGAACACAGCCATGACATCAAAGTGTACACCCTGGTGCAGCCCTTGAACACAGCCATGACATGAAAGTGTACACCCTGGTGCAGCCCTTGAACACAGCCATGACATGAAAGTGTATACTGTGGTACAGCCCTTGAACACAGCCATGACATCAAAGTGTACACCCTGGTGCAGCCCTTGAACACAGCCATGACATGAAAGTGTATACTGTGGTACAGCCCTTGAACACAGCCATGACATGAAAGTGTATACTGTGGTACAGCCCTTGAACACAGCCATGACATGAAAGTGTACACCCTGGTGCAGCCCTTGAACACAGCCATGACATGAAAGTGTACACCCTGGTTCAGCCCTTGAACACAGCCATGACATGAAAGTGTACAAGCTGTGGTACAGCCCTTGAACACAGCCATGACATCAAAGTGTATACTGTGGTGCAGCCCTTGAACACAGCCATGACATGAAAGTGTACAAGCTGGTGCAGCCCTTGAACACAGCCATGACATGAAAGTGTATACTGTGGTACAGCCCTTGAACACAGCCATGACATGAAAGTGCACGTGATTGTACCCCACCATGATGTGCTCAGCTGCGTGTTTTTTTACAGTTCTGTTACTGTACAGTAATAAAATTCCTGATAATTTTTGCAATATTTCCAAGTTTGGGATGTAGTCTTCTGGTCAATGAACAATTTGTTTTAAGAGTATAGTACTAGGCACTATGCTGGTGAAGACTGTAAACTGTCGGTTCACATTTGGGAAAGCTGAACCATGAAATTTCACACATCAATGGATTTTGATGGTTTACAAGAAAGTCGATAAATCACTGTAGACCATTAATTTTGACAATCATTATTATTGCATCACACTGTTGTTAGTGTTTCTTTCTAGCCATTTCTTTGTTTGAAAATGAAAATCGTACACATGCAAATTTCACGTCATACACCATTTATCATTCAAGAGCAATTACTGTACAAACAACTGTGGTCATAAGGAAGTGCAAGTGATGATGCACTCTCAAAACATTCATTATTATCATTCCAACATTGATTGACTCCAATATAGCTCCCAATTCTTTCAATCGTTTTAGACTGACTGACTGAGTGAGTATAGTTTTACGCCACTTTTAGCAATATTTCAGCAACATCACTGCGGAGGACACCAGAAATGGGCCACACACATTGTACCCATGCGGGGATTCGGAACCCGGCTCTTCGGTGTGACAAATTCGCTTTAGAATGTAGAATACAAAGTTCATCTTTACTGTTAGAATTCAAACAGTAGCAAGCCTGAAAGAAACATTGAGATCAATCAATGGAAATGCCATGCAGAGTTATGTCCCTTTACCTGATTCTCCGCGTGATTCTGAGAACTTTTCCCCCAGGTACGGTTGTAATATGGCTGTAATCTGCATACTTTCATACTGCGACACATAGGTTTGCAACACTTCTACATCATCTTCTTCTTCTTCACCTGCAACAAAAGTATTGTTTCATATTATAGTGACTATTGCATTGACGAAAACTATCCTGTGTTTGGTTTTGTTTGAAGTTGTCACTACACTCAGCTATATAATGCTGATCCTAAAATAATTGAATCTGAACCATTCAATCCTATAATTGACATAATGATCATTGATCTATGCAATTGAGGTGAGGTGAGGTGAGGTGAAATTGGGTTTAACGTCGTGCTTGAGAATATTTCGCTCATATGACGACGTGCATGTGTGTGTATGTGTATGTGTGGCTGCTTGTACTAGTCCAGACAGAAGCTGGTTTTATAGTGCTAGCCCACTGAGATACCATGCCGCAGTGAAGCATGAATACCCCACTCAGACACATTATACTGACTCCGAGCCGACCAGTCCTTGTTGTACCCATTAATGCCGAGCGTCAGGCAGGGACCAACAAATACCATATTTTAACGTCTTTTGGTATGAAGAGGCCAGGGATCGAACCCACGACCTTCCGCTCTCCGTACACTCTAACCATAACACCACGGAGGCGGTCCTATGCAATTGAGATACAATGACATGCATCAACCAAATAAGTGAGCTCGACCACTGCTTGTTGCCTCTTATGGCAAGCATGTGTTTGCTGAAAACCCCTTTACCCAAGGGTGCAGTTATACAAAGCGATCTTGGTGCTAAGGTGATCGGAACTCCCATACCATGACGTACACTTATACGACTGGCATAGTGCTAAGGTTGCTTTGTACAACAGTACAAGAGGTTAACTATCTTGTGTGGTAAATACGAATACTAAAAAGAAAACTATAATCTAGATGCCAGTACTCACATGGAGGCTTTATCAGCATCCTACAGTTGAAATTTCGTCCTTTGCTGGTTGGGGTCTCTCCAGGCCACACTATGCCATTTCCTGTCAACACAAACATAGCACTTTTACACATTTCCTCCAAATTCACTCACCATAACCAGAGTGTTCTAATGAAATCCCACAGGAGTAATGATGCAATAGTAATTTTGGTGGTATCCTTAGGTTACAGATGCAACCAGTGTCATGATAGTATCATGGACTCTTAGTCTCTTAGATTTTATCACTAAGATAAAAGCAACCAACAAAATTTAAATAGAAAAAGAGACATTTCAGATACTTCAGTTAGAGCTGAAGCATTATCGTAATAGCTTGGTGGAAGGTAACATAATTTGGTCAGGACCTTTGAGACAGACTACTGTATCAATTGTCGATACCATGGGTCCAACTTGGCCAAGCATGTCAGTCATCTTGATGCCTGTCATAGGTACCCTGGCTTTTACGTCATATATGCTTATTGTTTTAAATAATTGCTTCACTGTTGGCTTAATTATATGTTTACTTGCTTATTACTTTTTTAGGCATTATTTAGAGTGTTTTAAGATGGTAGTTGTGCCTTAATGTGTCCTCTATGGATTGTTGCAAACCTGCAATCAAAATATGGCGGCACAACAAAGTGTACCATTACAGCCCTGTAATAGGTAATAACCGGGTAATAACCAGAATAACTAGACCAGGTAATAACAGGTAACAACTAGACCGGGTAATAATTACGTAATTAGTAAACCAGGTAATAACCACATAACTAGACCAGGTAATAAGCAGAATAACTAGACCAGGTAATGACCACAATAACTAGACACGGTAACAACTAGAGCAGGTAATAACCAGGTAATAACCAGAATAACTAGACCAGGTAATAACCAGGCAATACTAGTTATTATCTGACATTATCTCACACTGACAGTGACATGGTGTCATTTACAATAGACAAGTCACAATTCTGTCGACAATATATAATGAGGAAGAAGTGGATGTCTTTCCAGATTTGTTTTCAAGTGTAGCAGGGTGCGATTTTGCTATTAACAACCTGCACCAGTGCATGTTCAAAATGGCTGGTGCCCGTTGTGTTTGGTAACAGGCAGCTGTCATCGTGTGTTTTAATCGGGAAGTAAGTGACTGGAAGTAACAAGACTTGTTACAAGCATAAACATTTGTGTACTCATTAATCAGTTATATAGCAGTAATCATATAATAGAGATTAATAAATAAAGGTAATGCAAAACTGAAACAGAACCATTCATCATGGGATCTGGTTCTGTTGAATGTATCTTATACTGAGTACTTGCTATGAAAATTGCTAAACAAGCATTTATGTAACATTTTAGAACCAGTGACATGGCTTTGTGGTGCAACCAAAATTATGATTGTGCAGCCGAACCTATAAGCCAGGTTGCACTCGGAGCAGGTACTGAAAAAAAAACACAAACTCGCAGCCTGCGTGGGCGTAGTTTGAGTGTTACTCACCCAATGACATGGGCAGGAGACTGCTGCTGAACTGGGCATGGTCTCCAACATGGATGATGTTGTACACACTCTTTCCAACCAGATCATCCTGAAACAAATCCAGCAGACTGTTATCTCGCGAATCATGCTGCTGGACCCTACATCACTTCATTCACAGAAAGCTAAGAATGGAACAACACATAGCAACAGGCAGACAATCCTGTTAATAATGCACGTGTTGGTGTCTCAATAAATAGGTGTGATAAAGATAGGATATTTCAGGACGGCTTGGCAAAAATATTACAAGACTACTTGTCTCATCCTAAACTTGCTAATGGAATACACTAGTCAGAAATTAGCTGTCGACTGTGACCTAAAGGTGTCTCAGCCTGATTTCATTTGAAAACAAATCCTGATTCTGGGTATATGGAGATATGAAAGTATAAAGTGGCATGTACACTTGGAATAAATTATCCAGTTAAGTGAGTGTACAGTGTGCATCCCACAACTGTCACGACAGGTATCACAGAAGTGGCTCTTGACACATCAAATTTCACAGAATCTGCAAAGTGTCTGCTCCTCAATCTGAAGACCCAGGTTTGATTCCCCACATGGGTACAATGTGTGAAGCCCATTTCTGGTGTCCCCACTATGATACTGCAGAAATATTGCTAAAAGTGGCATAAAAACCATATTCAGAATCAGCATTTTCAGAATTTTCATTCCTGCCAAATATGTTTCTCATCTTAAACCTTTCCGGCATGTTTTTTGTGCTGACCAACCAGCCAATGACCAGTCCAACACATCCATGTTAGACAAATTCGGCACAGCAAACCCCAAACCTAAGAATGAGTCGAACTCAAAATTGCGTTAAAGTGATGCCACTAAGTGGCATCATGATCAGCTTGGTGTGGGAGAGTGAGTGAGTGAGTGAGTTGTGTTTTATGCCGCTTTTAGCAATATTCCAGCAATATCACGGCCGGGGACACCAGAAATGGGCTTCACACATTGTACCCATGTGGGGAATCGAACCCAGGTCTTCGGCGTGACGAGCGAACGCTTTAACCACTAGGCTACCCCACCGCCCTGATGTGGGAGCAAGTGATACAGGTACTATATATGTACAACTTCCTTGGAACCCATGACTTCTGGTAAGGTTCACATAAACCAAGAACCTTCACAAAACCCAAAATTCCACATCCCAAGGGACATAACTCAACCTGTGGTAAGCCACTACCACTGCCCATCAATGAAACGCCATGCATATGTTGCACACTGTGTTATTTACACTGCAGCCTAACAATGCTCACGGGCTGCTGCATAATGAACAGGCGGCTGCAGCAGATTTGTGAAAGTGCAACAGTTTAACATTCTTTGAATTTGTCAGCTTCTGGTAATGAAATGGCATTCATAAAACAAGCAGAAGAAAGTGACTTGGGCTAAGTAAAGTACTGTGTAATTTAGGGCTGTGTACTGGCAAATATATTGCGATTCTGGTACCTGTATTCCGATATGTATTGCGATATATTGGGAGCTTCAGTGTTTGTCAGTGAGTGACACTGATTGTACATGCAGAGCCTGTTTTCTTCATACTAAAGCCCTAAAAATAAATGTTATGGTTGTGATAACAGAAATCGCGAATTGATATTTGATTTTGAGGGATTGTATTTTCATTTTTATCAAATCTATTGTATGTCAAGTATGCTGTTTTGTCAATTAACTACAATGGAAAACATCAGTGTGAATGAAAGTCTGTAGATTTTACCTTAAATCAAAGAGTTAATAAAAAAACTTCATATATTTGTATTACCCAATATACTGGTTGTGAGTAATTGCAATTACGTATGGATTTGAAAGGTGTACTGCGATAAACTGGCATGCAGTCTTACGGCAAATGGAAAAGTATTTCATATTTCACCTTGATTGTATGATTCAAAATATAAAATATTTTGAGTATTTAATACATGTTTAATCGTTTTAGTATTACAAACTAATTGAATTCAGTGTACATTTATTCTTAAAAGAAAATTAAATTCATATTCCTGAAAGCTATCAATGTCAAGGTATAGATCATTATTTGATCAAAAAGACTAGTTTCACATTCATGACTCAATCGACTGAGACATTTATCAAACTATCTCAGAAAATAAACAGTATATATTTTAATGTAGTGTACACTTTTATGTATTTCTTTAGAAGTATTTGAAAGATCCATCGATTCTTCAGTTGACCCTCCGAGCAGTGATCAGCACTGCCCTCCTGCCCTGTGTTACAAAGCATCCTATACAGGAAGTGAGGAAATACTATCCTTCCACGGTCCTCCTTCCCAAGCCAAAGAATACTGCACTAATTTGAATCTTGACAATCGGACAGCCTACCAGCTAAGCCTATTGTTTACATTTGACAACAAATCCACCATCGCACAGGTGATCCAGGGCTAAACACCGAAAATAAGACCGTGTCACGCCTGAGCGAACTTGAAAAAAGAATGCGCATCTGTCGATGTGTGAGCGTTTTGTTATTGAAGATTTACACCGGTAAAGAATAAGGATATTCAATACACTGCTCGAACTGGGACCAATCAATTTTTCTACGTGTTAACAGAATTTACTTGAATTGTAATCTTGTTCAGCAAATACACCAGTGGAAGGTCTTTGTGGGAACATACAGAGATTGAATGGTTCCTGTTACAAGGTTTTCCAGTGAATTAAAGAAAGCTGTTCACCCACAACAACAGTGAACTCACAACCATTATTCATAAACTGAAAAACATTCTAGCTTTGCAACAGCAATTTATGCTATCCTTACAATTCAATTCAGCTCATCGAAAAAGGGTTATATAAGTAACAGAGCATCCATACAAAACAACCCTGAACTAAGAAATCCATATAATGGGGATCACTCCTTCTAGTGATCCATAGTCCTAATGTTTTCTTCCTTCAGCAAGGTGTTAAAGGGATTGCACAGCAATCTGTGAATGTACATTCACAAGCAGGCTGCCTCACGAACACTTCTTGGATTGATCTATGGACATGTCCCAAAATTTACTGGACAACTTTCACATATTTGTTGATCATTTTGCTTACTTCCTAGGGTAGGGTAGGGTAGGGTGGGGGTAGGGTAGGGCAGGGTAGGGGTAGGGTAGGGTAGGGGTAGGGTAGGGTAGGGTAGGGGTAGGGTAGGGTAGGGTGGGCAGGGCAGGGGGTAGGGCAGGGTAGGGTAGGGGTGGGGTAGGGTAGGGGTAGGGTAGGGTAACTGAATAACTTCTAAAAACATCTTAGATCACAGGTATTTATTATAGAATAGAATATTATAGAATATAGCCATCTGAAAAAAACTCATCTCAGCCTGCTTGGTGTTTATGATGTAATGTTTAATACAATGTCACTTGCTTGTCACAACAGATCCTGTTCATGTTTTGATTGATCAAGCTTTGATGGCACTCAAAAACATAACGATATGTAACTGTCCAAGTCTGCCTTAAACAAGTCAAGCAACCTGAATTTAATACATGTGTATCATGTGTCCCTTGATCGGCATACAGGATTTAGTTTGTGTACACCCCTTGACCTGCTCTTGGTGTACAAGCCCATGTAGCTCATAGAATCCCACATACCCTGGTTGTGGTTACCCTCTCACATTACCATCCCTTGGGTCAACTCTTACTTCATGCAGCCCACAGCTCATTTAAGACTAGTGGTTGGAGTAACAATTACACTTGGTGACAAAACAAACAGTCCTAACATTCACTAGTCACACGACTATCAGACTGATGACCTTCACGTCTTTACCATTACTTACTGACTGACTGAGTTCGGTTTTACACCGCTTTTAGCAATATTCCAGCTACATCACAGAGGGGGAACACCAGAAATGGGCTTCACACATTGTACCCATGTGGGGATTCGAACCCGGGTCTTTGGCGTGACGAGCCAACGCTTTAACCACTAGGCTACCCTACCGCCCCTCTTTACCATGAACCTCCACACAGAACTAAGTGAACATCGGAAGCTACAAATAATGTTGGTTCCTACAATCTGTGACAGAAACAACTGAATCTCCTGACCTTAACTCAGTTATTTGGCATATTTTTTCAGTAGATATAGACTATCCAAAAGAAGAATCTTGCATGTATACAGTTAAACATGATTGTGTCGAACTTGTTATGTCAAACTTTCAGCTGTCTCAATGAAAAAACTTGGCCTTTTTGTATTCTTCCTCTATTCACCATGGTCTGTTATGTCAGATAAGTCAAATTATTTACAGATCCCTTCAACTTCAATACAACAGGACCCTTTCATATTACTACAGTTACACAACATTACATATCAACTATTGACGATGTAATAAGATGTTCCTTTACTTCTTCTGAGAAGTATACGTGGACTACCTGATCTAAATCAATGACATATTTAACAAAAGAAAGGTTTTTTAGAAACACAGCCTGGGTGAAGCAGATGTTGCATAATGTTCCCTTTACAGAAAAACTGCATTATCACATCAATTCATTCTATTAAACCATCAATCTTGGATAGTCGACAACAGAAAATATTGTAGTAAAATCCTGAAAGAGTGCAGGGCCAGATTTCATTCAAACGAGTCTGTTCAGTGATTCATGTATACTTCTAGCATAGCTACTTCCTTTACAAAAGCTGCTTTTACCCGTCCTCATACTGGTGCTCTAAACATCTAAAGCACAGTGTGTTATCTAATCATGCAGAGATCAATAGTCAGTTCTTCCTTAATAGTTAAAGCAAGACATGGTTGGTAAACATAGTCATCTTCATAAGCAGTGGGTTGTGAAAAAACTCATCTCATGAACTTGCAAATGTCTTATTCAGTGCTGATACATACTAAATTGCTCTATAACCAGCACATACAGCACTGATATTTTTCAAAGGAGTCCCTGATGAGTGGAATATGCCTGCATATATACTGTTATACTTCAGAGAGGATTGTCTTGACACATACTCAGTGATGAGTGGAATATACTGACATATATATGAATATACAATTATACTCCACAGAGGATTGTCTTGACACATACTCTGTGATGAGTGGAATATACTGACATATATACTGTTATACTTCACAGAGGATTGTCTTGACACATACTCAGTGGTGAGTAGAATATACACATATATACTGTTATACTTCACAGAGGATTGTCTTGACACATACTCTGTGATGAGTGGAATACTACTGACATATATACTGTTATACTCCACAGAGGATTGTCTTGACACATACTCTGTGATGAGTGGAATATACTGACATATATACTGTTATACTTCACAGAGGATTGTCTTGACACATACTCAGTGATGAGAATATACTGACATTGAGGATCTCAACATACTCTGTGATGAGTGGAATATACTGGCATATATACTGTTATACTCCACAGAGGATTGTCTTGACACATACTCAGTGATGATTGGAATATACTGGCATATATACTGTTATACTTCACAGAAGATTGTCTTGAACATACTCTGTGATGAGTGGAATATACTGACATATATACTGTTATACTATTGTCTTGACACATACAGAGGATTGTACTGACATATATACTGTTATATTCACAGAGGATTGTCTTGACACATACTCAGTGATGAGTGGAATATACTGACATATATACTGTTATACTTCACAGAGGATTGTCTTGACACATACTCAGTGATGAGTGGAATATACCGACATATATACTGTTATATTCCACAGAGGACTTCACAAGGGAAAATAATATCTCACCTGGTTGTACTTCAAATACTGTGCGATGTTTTCAGACACAAATTCTACTTTGCCTTGACTGTTCACAACAAATAAGAATCCATCAAGAGCCTGAAATGAAAACAACAGTAACTTTCAGACAACAAGTACAATCACATCACCTTCGGGCAACCAATCTGTATGGAGAGTGGGGGCGGTGGAGTAGTCTTCTGGTTAAAGTGCTCGTTCACACCAAAGATCCAGGTTCAATTCCCCACATGTGTGAAGCCCATTTCCAATGTGATATTGCTGGAATATTGCTCACTCACTCACTCACTGTATGGGGTGTTTTTGTGGGAGTTTTCAAGTCCAACTTGAATTGAAGATTTCATGTGGTAGTTTAAAAAAGCCATTACCTTTCTCCAGGAAAAGATCCACACAGGGATTAAACAGACCCCATTTCATAAAATTCTTCCATGTTATCATATGGAAACTATTTATGAAGAAGAAGAATCTTGTTTTTCAAAAATAAAATTATATGGCACCACTGATATTATCTTTATATAGTTTGGAAAGCAAGGAAAATGATGTTTCGAAAACCTTAAGGTTGCAAAAACTTTACAACTCGTTTCTGTTTGTTTCATGGATATATAAAAACAAATTTATCACAAGTGTTGAAGTCATTGCAGTAATTCCTTATTTACCTGAAAATTGTTTCAAAAACATTTCTGTGGAAATTATCTGACTTTACACATATACACAACTTCTCATATGAACACCAAAGCTATTATCAACATATTGTCTAAGTAATAAGTCAGTGATTTACCTTGCATTGAAAATTCAGTGCCAGTGACACACACATTGGGAAAACTATTATTTTTCAATTATTTCCACAAATATTAATCTTTAGCAATCAAGCAAAGTATTTTTCTTGATATAAATTAATCCTATTATAAGTGAAATAAACATCACATCTGCAAAATAAGAGCAAAAACATTTAATGCAAATGTGTTTTTCTCTAAACTGGTACAAGGAATAAAGTGTATGAGGTGAAGCAGCTGGTGCATCTCAGTCTGATCCTCATATCTTTATCATCATTAATCTTATGGGGATTTTCTACTACATAAATATTTATAGATTTATTTTTTAATCATCTATTTCAAATGCTAAAAACCAGATATGTTATTATGTGTCACTATCAGTAGTGTTCCAGCTGATGCACTCTGTAAACAACTGAATCTTGATAAAATTGTATCGTTATCGTAACTACTGATCTTATCCATTTAAAACTACAAGCTGATTGAATACATATTATTTATCTTTTAATGAGGAAACAATAATTAACAAGAAAAAGTGACCCTTTGCTGATGCATGCATTCAGTACAGGAGAGTGCATGCAACAATGCATTGTCCCTGAACAGGCATGAAGGACTCAGTGTCAAGAGTCAGAGCCCTGGTGGAATGGCTGACTATTATTAGCCACTACCAAAAAACCCATCTCCAATGTTTTACAAGAAAATAGATAGAGATGAAACCCAAACTGAAATCTGTATGACTAGCATGCACTCATGAGTAAGTGAGTGAGTTTTACGCCACACTCAACAATACATGCACTGATGATGATGATGATGATGATGATGATGATGATGATGAATGAGAGTTGTAGTAGTAGAAGTAGCAGTATGATGATGATGATGATGATTGAGAGTATCATGAAGGGTTTCACAGGATATCAACATTTCAAGCATGTCATGGCAGCCAGCTAAGTGTCAATGAACCCAGCAGGCAAATCAATGGCTGATTGTGTGAGCTGAGATTTAGTCTGTTGGTGTAGAGCGCAGTGAGCAGTGGTAAGGCGTCTGCCTATCACGCTGAAGGCCCGGGTTCGATCCCAGGTGGAGGCACCTAGGTTTGGGTCCCGAGGTGGGCACATTTGCGTAGTATCCTTGGACAAGATACTTAGATCCACATTGTCTCAGTTCACCCAGCTGTAAAATGGGTACCCATGAGGATGTGCTGGCAATGTGAGTGTTTAGTTCATTGCGCCTAACAGGCAGCATGGCTGTATGATCCCTAGGGAGTTGAAAAAGTATCGGAAAGTGCGATAGTGTCCTATGACCGGGGATAGTAATGTATGTAGCGCCGTGGAGCAGTCAATGTGCCTGGATATGAGCGCCATATAAGCGGACTATTACTACTACTATTACTACAATCAGCCTTAGAAACAGGCATGAGTCGCAACCAGATTGCTCAAATTGCAAAAACAAGATTGCTCTAAGGTTAGTGTATCCAGAGCAGTGTTCAAAATTAAGCATGGAAGTCAAGGGATTCTTCCCATAGACCTAATGCTAAACCTTGACGAACCCCTAGACTGATATCCAGAAGACCCAAAGAATTCCGTGATGATACACAAGGCCATAATCATTTGCCCAAGGCACTAAACCAGGTGAGTGAGTGACTTTAGTTTTACGCCGCCGCTTTTAGCAATATTCCAGCAATATCATGGCTGCCCATGTGCCCATGTGGGGAATCGAACCTGGGTCTTCAGCGTGACGAGCAAACGCCTTAACTACTATGCTATCCCACCGCCCCTAAACCAGATGAGTAGTGGGCATTTGTACATAATCTGATTGGTGCTGCTGCATATGAGTGAGGTGAATGAGCGAGGATAAGTCCTTATGGAAGGAGGTAGGGTGGTACCCCAGTCTGGTACCCGAGCACGGTACCTACCTCGAGCAGCAGCGGTCCTAGCAGGTCATTGGCGAGGATGGAAGGCTTGCTGGACGATACCTGACTTTGTTGAACTCGTCTCCCGACCCACTCTCAGCTGAAACAAAACTTTCATTTATTTCTATATCCCAAAGGGAAGGTATTGACTGCAAGAACACAAGATTTCTATTAATTATCTCCCAAACTGAGCTGTAAGAATACAGATGACAAATCTCCTGAGACAGATAAATGCTGAGTGTACGGTATTGCAGGCAAACATGATCAACATCATTTGAGGAACAACTGTTAGGTTTCCCACAAACTGCAACCCCTAGCTGGGTTTTATACCATTACAAGCACATGACAACCAAGGAAATTACTTTTTCGGACAAATGTGAAGACACACTGAGCATTTTTGCTGCAAGAAAATAAATCAGAGAGAGACTGAGTTTCCTAACGATTGTACTGTTGGTTGGTCACCTGGTTTCCAATCATCAGCCAGTAAATATAGAACGATTATTTACCTTGCTTGTTAATTTGCTGGATTTGGTTGACGGTCTCCTGCAGTATTGCACACTTGTCGGGCTTGACGGAGAATACACTCATGTCCGTGAAACTTTCCGAGATCAGCTCCGCAAGCTCCTCAATGTAGATGTTCTCCTGCTCCCGCCGTTGCTGCTCATTAAGCTGTTTAATCCTGAAACAATAGCATCAGTTAGTCAAACAGGTAATTTTAAGTTGCTGTTTAATCCAGAAATAATAGTGACAGTTAGTCAAACAGGTAATTTTAAGTTGTTGTTTGATCCAGAAATAATAGTGACAGTTAGCCAAACAGGTAATTTTAAGTTGTTGTTTGATCCTGAAACAATAGTGGCAGTTAGTCAAACAGGTAATTTTAGGTTGTTGTTTGATCCTGAAACAATAGTGGCATTTAGTCAAACAGGTAATATTAAGCTGCAGTTTAATCCTGTAACAATAGCACCAGTGAGTCAAACAGGTCATTTTAGGTTCCTGTTTGATCCTGAAACATAGTACCAAGAAGTCAAACAGGTCATTTTAGGTTGCTGTTTGATCTTGAAACATAGTACCAAGTATATGTCTCAACAAAGATGGGGCCCATCTAACAACAGTCCATCCAAATGAAACGTTCGCATTTACAAGCCCAAACATGGCTACAAACATCACTTCCTGTATAGTTTGATGTTATGATTGGCCTAAACTAGACTCCAGACTAGTGGCTGACGTCCCAGACTGTATCAAACTAAAAGTTCAAACATTAAAAAATATTGTTGAATATTCTTACATGAGTAGTCATGGATAGTAATGTAATTATGACTTCCAAACGAACACCAAACAGGTACCGACAAAAATATTATGACATCTGTTGGCATCACATTATGAATTCAGCGTTGTCACCAGATGGAAGGTCTACTTGTTATAAAGACAACAATGACTACCACAATGTCAGTTCCACCTGCAACAGGTGTTAACACATTCATGCTTCACTGTGATGACCCAGCTTTTCCAATTTACATATCATTCAAAAACAATGATGCCAATTACAAATCATTAGCATAAAAGAGATTTCCATATCTGCCAAAAAATTAATCAGCTGGAGATCTGTATGATTCCAAAACAATGATACCAATTACAAATAATATTCAGAAATGCAAGTTCCATATTTTCAAAAATATTAACAAACATTTAATTTTATGTGTATGTTTTTTAATATACACCTCCCCTTCCCCTGTATAGCAGCAAATATGGCAATACGCTTATTTCATTAGTCTGATAGGGCGGTGGGGTAGCCCAGTGTTTAAAGCATTCGCTCGTCACGCCAAGGGCCCGGGTTTGATTTTCCACATGGGTACAATTTGTGAAGCCCATTTCTCGTGTCCTCCGCCCTGATATTGCTGGAATATTGCTAAAAACAGCGTAAAACCATACTCTGTCACATTACTCTGATTGCATGTTGTAAATCAATACAGAAACACGCACTTCAGCAGCTCTAAAAACATCTATCCTATATTGCATATCATGAATCAACTCCAGAAGTTGAATCTAAGTTGGAAAATATCAGAAATCAACTGTCAGTTAACTTGACCCTCTTCTGCAGATCTTGCATGTCGCGTTTCAAATGTAGCCATCAGGGGAGATAATGCATGTTCAAACGCTGTATGGAAGCAGCTGGTGAGAACAACCTGATTGTACAAGCAGTATTGATAATGATAATGAAGTGGCCCTTATTACCCACCATGTCATCAGGTGAGATCTGATTGGGTCTGCAATCAGCCAATAGACTGCTGCTATCTGATTGGTTGAGTCATGTTATGTAGAGTATACTGGTTTCCATACAAGATGTTACCCAAGGGCTGATGGTTGGAACTAGAGAAACACCAGCATGTCAGCTTGTGTCAGGAACTGAAGAATGGAACGACACCTGTTTCCTCCCAGCTGACAGCTACACAAACTACCATTACAAAATGAGCCATGGACTATCTGGATCAAACTCCTGGCCAAACAGTCAAAAGAGTCCTCAAAATTATGGAATCACAATTGTGACAGACACTTTGACCTGTCTGAAGATTAAAGTATACAGCACATCGACTTTTTCAGACTCTCTTCAGACAATAACATGTTTTTTGGTTGTTGGGTTTTTTTATTATTAAGCCAGACCAATTTTATTTCTTGTTTTACAGAGGGAAGGCAGGAAGGAAATAAATAAACAAAATAAAATCACCAGTCAAAGAAAAATTCCTTCTTAAAATTAAAAGTATTTTGCTTCTGGCAATTTATGAAGTGTTTATGGGGCAAAAAACAATCAAATAAGAACTTCTTATAAGTTTATATTTTTGGCCAATAAAACAAGGATTTTATTTTTTGAGAGGGGAAAATTAATTTATATTTTTTTTCTTATTCTTGAAAAAATACAACCGGCGGATCTGTAAAACAAGAAATAAAATTGGTCTGGCCTTATTATTAAATTTTTCATTCATTCATTCATTCATTCATTCATTCCATGTTGCCTTACCAGCATATGGCCTCTTCTTCAACATACCTTATTCTCAATACAGCCTGGTTGATGCAAATTGCTTCCCTATACATATGAATCATGGAGGTGAACTGTGTCCCCTGGTAATATAACTTTATGGTACTGACAGAACAGGGATTTGAAAACTATAAACTTGTAGCACTGTGTCTCATGTTGAGTTGATGTCATACATCAGCAGTTAACTTCACACTGCTGCTTTTGTAAAGTTCTGAATGTAAAATCTAAAGTCACATCAGAATTTCCATGTATTTTCCCATTTTCCTGTTTATTTTTTGCTCACCTTAGAAAGAGACTAGTAAGCAGTCTACCATCACTACCCAAATGTTACAGATGTGTATTAATAGAACACACAACACTGAGAAATCCATGATCTGCCCAACAGATATTCAGGCCTACCAAAGAAAACTTTCCCACTGTGCAGAAAAACGCAGAAAAGCCCACATTAATCGTGGAAATAGCAACATTAACATAATACCTCGCTACTGAAACAGTAAAAACGGCAATGAAAAACTATGAAACTGCAACATTTTTATATCAGCGAACTTTGACCTCTACTGCGCATGCGCATTACGATCCAGGCTTCTTTCCAATTTCCGAGCAACCATGAATCGCCTCGCGTAGAAAAAGTATTAAATATGTCGAAATAATTGCTGTCAATCGTTTCATACGAATGGAAAGTAAACTAAACAAGTGTGCACACAAGTATCATGATGATAAATGCCAAATAACACAACAGAAATACTTAAAAAGGAATGTAACTTTTGTCCAAGCTGGAAAATGTCAACATGCGGTCGAGACTTCCTCTTCCATGTGCGCATGCACAAAATCGAAGTTGCGAGCTCCTCGTTTTATGATGCAGTGTTAGCGATTTAAAGCTGCCGTTTTTACTGTTTCAGTAGCGAGGTATTATGTTTGTGTTGCTATTTCCACGATTAATGTGGTCTTTTCTGTGTTTTTCTGCACAGTGGAAAGTTTTCTTTGGTAGGCCTGGAAAGATTTAGCCCATAATAAATCAAGTCCATCAGAGTATGAATATAAAGGGAAATATTGTTCAGTTTGAAGCATCTAAGCATATGGAAGCATATGGAACAAATGACCGGTGCATGTCGTCTCCTGGCATGTCTGAGGTGATCCTTTCAGGCCTTCAAACAACAAACTCTTTTATCTTATTTACACGTTGGCTCACAACTGCGACCGTCTACCGAGTGTCTCAGAAAGTAGCTAACAAACAATCTACGACTGCTACCCAAAAGATCACACATATTTGAAAATAGCACCGCATTCCATAAAACTCTGAAATGCATCATGCTGTAAAGAAATATAGCGTGTGCACATGTGTGTGCAAGCTCATGCATGTGCACGTCTTCCTGTACTGCAGCAACATCCTCCACACCCTCCAAAGACAGCCTACAGATAGTGTGGTCATACTAGCATATACTTTCACTACCACAAACAATCTTCTACTGTCAGTTTGTGCATTTCTAAATAAGGTGTAAGAAGCCTTTTCACAGCCTTTTGTTGACATCATCTGTTAACTTGTTCCTCATTTAACCTTTAAAAGTTGAACCTTTTACTGTTAACAGGTTCAAATTTTACTGTTAACAGGTTCGTCATTTTACTGTTATGTGTTCACTTTTTACTGTTGATTTATTTACCCTTTTACTGTTAATGCAATTAGGCTTTTAGTTATTGTGTTCACCCATTTACAGTTATGGTGTTCACCCTTGTACTAATGAGTTCACCTTTTTACTGTTACTCTGTTCACCCTTTTACTGTTAATGAGTTCACCCTTTTACTGTTAATGCGATCACCCTTTTACCGATGTCTTCACCCTTTTACCATTACTGTCTTCACCCTTTTACTGTTAATCAGTTCACCCTTTTACTGTTAATGAGTTCACCATTTTACTGTTAATGTGTTCACCCTTTTACTGTTAATGTGTTCATTCTTTTACTGTTATCACATTCACTTTTAGGCTTTCCTTCTTACTAGTAACTTGTTGGCCATTTCATTAACATGTTAACATGTTAACTCTTTTCCTGCTAACATATCTGCAACTGTACTGTTATTGTGTTAACCCCTTTTACGGTTGATCTGTTGAGCATCAAATGTTCTATCTCCTGTTTTTAAATCAGACAAAATATAATCTTTCAACTTTTGATGGCATGAAACTACAGAACATATTTATGTATATACCATAAACACTCCAGCCATATAACAAAGACTGAGAATTAACTCAGTCCAAATATTTACTGAGACTATCAATAATAAGGCCTTGTTTTTATTACACTTATTTACTGTTTTCCCAGGAAACCATTGCTTTAGATCACTGCCTGAACTCATCTACACAAACTTATATTTTTTCATATTTTGTCGACTACCATGAATAATTAATGATCATAAAGTTATCACTTTCATCACATTATTCTAAATTGGTCACACGAATACAGAAGATTGCATAAGTTGGCCAAAAGCCAAATGTATCATGATATTTCTCACAGAACCCCATTTCCACAAACTCATTTCCTCTTAATTCTCCACTGAACATGCTGAAAAGGCAATAATGATATGTTTTGGTTCAATGCCAAAATCGTTCCTGATTATCAACAGACAAAGAACCATTCAACAACCCATGCTTGTCGTAA